AGAGGCTTCACTAGCCGAGATGCAAAACGCAGTCAGTAAAAATGCTTGAATGCAAATGCAAATCAACAGGTAACAACATCGACACCGAACAGGAAGCAACAGCGACAAACAGAAACCGCAAAAAGAATCAGGAAAGAGGGTCAGGAAATAGGCAGGTACGCCGGATTGATCAGATCCGGTATCCACCGAAATGCCGTAGCTTCATTGGACTGGATAGGCACATCGGCTCCAGTCCCCCTGCAATGTGGAATTTCCGTCCGTGCTCCAGGACGCTTCACACACACGGAGCCCCAACTGGGGCGACATCACTTGTGCAAGGCCCATTGAGTCTTGCATGCATCAATTGTGCGAGAAAGTCTTGTGGCGATGACTGACCACACATACTTGGCTTTGGAATTGGTCTTAAGGGAACGGAGGAGTTCAATCTCTCCCTCAGTCCAAGGCTGCGAGGCGTCAGGTTCGGCCTCAGTAGAGGCATCAGTCCTGGTCGATGTGGTAGCTTCGCTTGGTCCACGAGCAGGTTTTGGATGCCGTAGATCGTGAGGAGGCCAAATCACGTGTGCGGCGAGCTCGTTTTTTGTCGGGAGAAGACGGAGGAGGAGTGGGCGGAGCCCAATGATCAGGGAATTGTTCGTCATGATCAGTGGGAAGGTGTTCATCTGGAGCATCAGGAGGTGGCTCAAAGAGGTCCTCGTGGGGGGCCAGGAGGGGTGTTGGTGGTGAGTTGGTCAGGTCCTCAATGGCGGGGTTGAGCGTGGCCTCCGGTGCCAAATCAGGTTCGGCAGGCGGACTCTCAGGGAACTCGCGGATGGTGGCGATGCCTTGTTGGGCAATGCCAAGGATGAGTTCGAAGTCTTGGAGCAGCTGGCGTGCTGTGTTGGTATCCATGCTCGTAACGGATTTTGGTCAAACAGTCAAACAGCTGCGGCGCGAAAATCAGGTCAAATCTGTCAGGATGCAAAGGCAGAGAAGAAAACCAGTGTGGTTCCGCAAAGGACGGTTTTTCTTCTCTTTGTAAGGTGAAACCGTGTTGGAGGTGCAACCTCTTCAACATTGCAAGACCCTGACCTCGCTGAAACTCAGGAAAGGAAACTCGGTTGATCAGCGTGCGTCCGGAATAACATCCAGATTCCTTATGCATCAGTGGTGCGGCTGACTTGACGGAGAGCATGTTGTGCTTCTCATGCGAGGGGATGAAGGAGATGGTGCTGCTTGTGAGGTTCAGTCGGAACCCCAAGAAGTCCAGGGCGGCTTCTGTGTCCAGGAAGATGTCTCCTCCATAGAAGTGTTCGTCGCACAGTATGTTGGCTGCCGGAGTCGAGAGCCACCTGGGGGTTGCGATCACGAGTCTGTTGTCCACGTAGCGGAGTAGGAGAGTATCTTCAACGGAGCGAAGTCCCGATGTGATGTGAGTGTTGGTCCAACATTGTTCGGCGACCGGGATCACCATCCCAGGAGGCTCCGAGTCCTGAGTTACGTTGGCTCTATAAGCTAAAGTGGCCCCGGCCACTTCCACTCGCCGGCGAACACGGAGCCGTGAAAACTCGGCCGAAAGGCCGTGATTACTTGTGCCAAAAGCCACGAGGCCGAAATTACTCCGTGATAAGGCCGTGAAAACTCGTGAAATTTCACGCTGGAAGTTAAGTTGCCCTCACGACAATTGAGGCCATCTAAGCTCGACGAGGCAAAAGTAACTCGGGACTCGGAGCGTCCTGGTCAAACAGAGAGCTGGGGACGCGGGGGATCCCATCGGTGCCCCACGTGTTTGCCTGAATGAACGAAGGCCGACAGAGAAGATCTGCATGTCAAGGGTGGCCTGAATGATCTCGGGGATGTCGTCGAGCCACAGGCGTTGTGTGGGTTTGTGTCGGCGACGGCGTCCGTTGTAGACGCGGGTGATGGCAGAGGTGTCAAGTGTGTCCACTGTGAGGTGTGTGGAAGAGGAGTGTGGTTGTCGTTGTCGGTACCAGGTTAGCAGTAGTCGCCAGGCGAGGAAGGGTGCAAGCATCGGTCTCGAGGGGCCAGGTGGAATGAGGCCCCGGAATTGTAAACTGGATCGAATGGCGGAAAGGCATGCCTGGTGGTGTGGTTCAGGCAGGTGTGTGGCTATGCAATGAAGGACATAGAGAGCGGCGGGTGGGAAGTCTCTGGTCCGTATGTAACGGATGGCATCAAATCGTCGTAGAGTGTTGCTGCCAAGATCGCCCAAAAATCGCCACAAATCCAGGCGGTTGTCCACGCGTTTGGCCAGGAAGGCCTGTTGTAGGGCGATGGGTAGTCGTAGTCGGCGGCGTTTTCGCCAGATGGTGGCGAAGCCCATGTGCCGGGATTGGGAGAAGTCCAATTGGCGTATGAAGCCCGTGCGTGGCCGGAAATGTTTCTCGATGAAGCCAAAATTGAGAGACGGTTGCAGTTCCTGGATGTAGAACTGTTCAGTGGCAAATAGGTCCGTTGCCGGAACGACAGTGTGAATGGGCACCGAGGTGTAGTGGTGGAAAAAGTCGAAATGTGCCCACCACCGGACTGCCAGTTCGGCATTGACCAGATGATGTCGCTGAACTTGGAGTAGTTTGCGAAGTTGGCTGCGGCCCCGTGCCATGAGGGAGGCGCGAGTGGCTCCGAGGTAGAAAAAGGCCTGCCACTTTGGATGGCTGGTGAATCTCAGATAAACCGCTGAAGGGACAAGCTGAGAAGAGAAATCGGAAGCAGGGTTGTCCAGGCCAAGTCGAGTAAGCAGGGCTTTCAGTCTGCCGGAACCACAGGAGAGATGGCAGACGTCAAGTAGCTGAAGCTGTGCGAGTAGCCAGGAGCAAGAATGACGTGCGGTGACGTCATCGGTTGGGAAGAACCGAAGAGTGAAACGGAGGACAGTGAGAAATTGGCAGCAGTGGTGTTGCCAAAATTTGTGCTGCCTGGCTGTGCGTCGTTGTCGGTGTGCTGTTGAGAGTCACTGGTAGAAGTGACTCGCAGCGGCCAGGATGCGGCCCAAGGCCGATGACCCCAGTTTTGATAGGGTTCGCACCGGGATGCCCCATAGCACAGCGGCTCGTTCGAGTTGGGCTCTGGTGTCGGAGTCCAGTGTGGTTGCCCATTTTGCGCAGTCGTTGGACCAGCTTTTTAGGACTTGCTTGCTCTCTTTGCTGGTTTTCTGAGAGGTGATCCATCGCTGGACTTTGGTGTCGGAAATGTCGGGTGGGAAGTTGCTGGTGAGCCATTGGCAAACGTGGGGAGGTGGTTGGAGCAAGTCGCGGGGCTCCTTCCAAGTGGGTGGGGAGGGGAGGGGGGGAGGGGTCGGGGTGCCGCCGTGGGTGGAGGGGGCAGGAGGGTTGCCGCCGTGGGTGGGGGGAGCCGGGGGGGGTTGGGAGTCGTCTGCAATGCGAGTGGGCAGGGGTAGAGCGGGGGATCCGTCCTGCGGTGATGTGTCAGGTGTAGTCAACCGTGGTCGCTTTATGCCGAAGTCCAGGAGGGAGGCCTGAGATGGACGGGGGGAGGGGGGGGAAAGGGGTTGCCGCCGGGAGGGGGGGGGAGAGAGCCGCCAAAGGAGGGTGGACGAGGGCCGGGGTGTGGTGGGTAACGGGGAATAGGTTGGCCGTAGGTCTGACAGGGAGTCGGATGTGTAGCTGGCGGTGCCGATGCCGTGGAAGAGCATCCGTAGGAAGGCCCGGACAGGGCCCCGCACGGGTTCCCGGCCATGTTGTTGCCGTACACGATGCCATGATGATGGGATGCCGTGGGCGAAGGCTGCGGTGGTAAGTTTTGCCTTTGGAGCGCCGTAACCAAACCTCGAGGGGGTTGGAAAGCCATGAGAAAACACGGGGGAAAAGGAAATGTTCGAACCAAAAGCTGGTGAGCGGAATCAAGCGGGTAAGGTCACAAGGTGAGAGAACGGTCGCGGAAAGGCAGAACAGCAAAGCAAAGAAAAAAGGCGATCAAACAGTGCACCAATTCTTTTCCTGGTTGGGTGGAAGATGGTACAGTTGCGCCCCGCTAAGCCGGGCGCTGCAGCGCGATGCCTCTCAGCATCGCAAACTTGGAGTGAAGGCACCACTTTTTGCCTCGGCGGCATGCGAAGTGGCGCCGCACGTTGTGTTGATCCTCGTGGCTTCCCCCGGATTCGAGGATTTTGTGCTGATTGATGGAGCGTAGTTCCCCAAAAGCGATGGCGCCGAGTTGAGACTTTCCGATTGTAAAGTTCTGCAAGAGCTGGCCGAGCGTGTCGGGCGTGCATGCCGTGGGGGTGGCCTGAGCGTAGCATCCAAAGCTCGGGTAGTCATGGTTCTCGGGCCTCCAAGCAGCGGGTCGGATCATGTTCTCATGGCACATGCGGCGCACTCGATCCGGGGTGGTGCCGTGCACATACATGACAGCGTGATGGGAGGCCGTGCCGGATCCAGCTTCCGGGTCTCCGCCAGCAACTGGCCAAGGATGAGGTCGGGGAAACCAAGTGGTTGCGAACACCATGCCGTGTGATTCCCGTCCCAAGAGGTGGTAGAAGCTGGGATCGAACGGTATGGGATCATCCGTGTCCATGGTTCGCAGTTCCCAGCATTCCGCGAGGAGATCGGCATGTGAAGGTGGCAAAGCAGGGTCCAGGTCCATCAAAATGGCCTTAGTCTGTTCCACCCTGGAGATGTCCAAGGCTGGAAGCGGGTCCAGCTCCCCCAACTCCCTAGGCGTGGGAACTCGCAGCGGGTCAGTCTTGGCCGTGTCCATGACGTTTCTCCATAGATCAAGCCACCGGTTGTCGGAAGTGGTGGTGGCATTGATGTCCGCCTCCGATGGAGGGGGGTCCAAATCACCGGTGTTGTCGAAGGGGGGTTGGGGAGGGTGAGGAGTAGCCGGCGTGGGTCGGGGAGGGGGAGGGGGAGTGGAAGTGAAGGCCGCCGCAGGTGCTGGGTGAGGGGGCAAGCTAGTGTTGTGGTGGCCGGTGCGGGAAGTGGGGTGGGGTTGCTGCCCATGGTGCTGCAGTGACCAGGACGTCGTTTGCCCTGGTTGTTTCGGTGGCCGGTGTGGCTGGCGCCATGGTGGTGCATGTCCCAGCGGTTTTTGTTCTGTGGTGGGTATCCCCACGATTGGTTCCGCCAGTGTGAGGAGGACCATTGAGACTTGTTGGAATCCTTCCCGGAAGTGCGCCAGGAGGTGGAATCATGAGTAGTGTGAGTGGGTCGGTGCGAAGTCGTGGCTCTGGGTGCAGGGGAGTGTCGATGGTGGGACCTGTGTCGGGGGGAGCGGGAGCGGAGGGAGACAGTGGAGTGGTGTGCACGTCGGGAGTGGTGGAAGTGTCGGGAAGGGGAACGTGACCTGCTGTAGCTGCGGGATCGTCGGGTGTCGTGTCGTCGGTGCGACTTGTTGTGCCTGCGATGGTGGCTGGTGTGGGAGTGGGAGTGTCGGTGCTGTCTGTGGCGGGAACGGGATCTGCGAGAGTGGGGATGGTGCCGAGTGTCCGGGGGAGGGTGGTTGGTTGAGGAGGTAGCGGCAGGAGCCGCAGCGGCAGCTTCGGGCGCGCGCGCCGGCTGAGGCTCGGGCGGTGAAGATGGCATGCTGCTCTGAGTCATGAAAGGCATGATGGTGCCAGGTGCCAAGTTGCCGTAATTGGGAGGGCCACCGTAGGGCATCATGGCCATCGGGTTGCCAAAGTTCGAGAGGCCGCCGTAGGGCATCATGGGGAAAGGTGTGAAGGATGCCGTCTGCGAGTTGGGTGACGGTACAAGGTTCATGGGCTGCGTCATCTGGGATGACAGCTGCAAGTTCGGTCCACAATTGCCTGGTGAGCCGGACGCGGTGCCGGTCGCAATGCTATGCAGGAGCGAATGCATCATGTCATAGAGCTGGTGTCCAGCCATCTCGCAAGGGAGAGAGAAGGTTGGAAAGGGGTGAAAACAAAACCACAACTGCGGCAAAAATGCGTCAATGGTGCAAATGCATGCGAGCCAACTTCAACCTGCGAATCGAAACCAAACAGAGGGAATTCCACCAGGGGACCGCCAAAACCCCGCGGCAACGGCAAAAGTTTCCACAGAAATGCATGCGAGCACAAAGGGGTTCTCAGAGGTGCCTGTCAAGTGGCCTCATGAAAGTGCCTCATGTGGCTATGCCGATGAATCTGAACTGAACTCATCCGAGACGAAAGCTTCCATAAACGCCACGAATCGCAGAGTTGGTGTATGACCAACTCGTCACTGGCGCATGAAGCTTAGGAGCCTGAAACCTCGTGGGTGCAGCCTTGCTTCAAAGGCAGGCAGTGCAGGCAGTGCAGGCGCATGAAACCAGCAGAGCACCATTTGGGTGCGGAATACCTTAAGACCTCAAGCTGCAGCCTTGATCGTGGTCAAACGCGCTGAACTGAACTGCAGCTTGAACTTGAACACTTGAACGGTCTTCCCCTCGCAGGGGGCTCCCGCATATGGCGAGTCCAGCCCACAGCGCCATGTCGGACAGGCCGTGGGTAAACACACTTATCTCGAGAGGCTTCACTAGCCGAGATGCAAAACGCAGTCAGTAAAAATGCTTGAATGCAAATGCAAATCAACAGGTCACAACATCGACACCGAACAGGAAGCAACAGCGACAAACAGAAACCGCAAAAAGAATCAGGAAAGAGGGTCAGGAAATAGGCAGGTACGCCGGATTGATCAGATCCGGTATCCACCGAAATGCCGTAGCTTCATTGGACTGGATAGGCAAATCGGCTCCAGTCCCCCTGCAATGTGGAATTTCCGTCCGTGCTCCAGGACGCTTCACACACACACACACACACACACACACACACACACACACACACACACACACACACACACACACACACACGCACGCACGCACGCACGCACGCACGCATGCACGCACGCACGCACGCACGCACGCACGCACGCACGCACGCACGCACGCACGCACGCACGCACGCACGCACGCACGCACGCACGCACGCACGCACGCACGCACGCACGCTCGCACGCACGCACGCACGCACGCACGCACGCACGCACGCACGCACGCACGCACGCACGCACGCACGCACGCACGCACGCACGCACGCACGCACGCACGCACGCACACCGTTACTCTCGCTTGCGCTGACTTGAACTCAGGCGATCCGATCGTGTGGCCCTGGGATGAAATCGGGAGATGAAGGTGAGGAGAAACGCAAGGACAAAAACCACGAATCGAACCGCAAGAGCACGAGGAAGAGGAAAACAAGACAGCGCCCACGAACCCGAATGCACATCACTTTGCGCAAACCCAAGAATATAATTAGAGGAAGAAAGAGGAAAACAAACTCTAGTTCTTATATGTCTTCGCCAACCGGAAAGCCGCCAGCTCTACTGGCAGGGAGTCAAATATCCTTATTTTGACACACAGACACACTGAAGTTGCAGGCTTGGAATCTGAGCAAGGTGCCCCTTGCTCCAAAGACCAACTTGTCTAATGATTGCGCAATCCGCTTCTCGCACCGTTCAGAAACCAACTGGTTTCTGAGTTGATTCCAACCAGCTGCGATGGGTGGCTTCCTTCCTTTCGTGGTGCGCTCCTGCCGCTTGTTGTAGGTCGCAATGCGCTCAAGAAGCATGTTTCTCGGCGACGATGTACAAGCGCGCCCGTGCTCGGGTCAGCATGGAATACGTCAGAGCTCGCTGACAAAGCCCCTGCCACCCATAGTCACTGCATCTGCGACGGACCGCTAGGGCCGGCGAAGCGAATGCCCCGCCCCACATTCAAAAGGCAGACGGAACCGAACACCGCACACCAGCCGCTTTCCAAGGAATTCCTTTTGACCCTCGACGCCCGCGTGATTGCTAGGGCAACACTGTGCAGCAAAACGGCGTTATGGACATAATGCACGGCGTGGTTTAAACGGTGCACGTATGCCTTCCGTTTGCACGTTAGCTCGTTGTTTGGTGGCAAACCAGGTAACCCCCGCTCGTTTGTTCCCGAAACTATCTATATACCTGGACCCGCAACTGAAAAGGGAAGCAACCCCATATTTTTGGGGTAGTAATTGGTTTTCTATAGGTAGTTTGAGGGGTCCAGGTATCTGTGGGTGACTAAAGGGAGAACGAAATCACGGCGGGAGTGTGGCTACTTTCCCCCACTGACGCCACTACCTTCAACCACCCCCAGAGGTTTGATGGAGATGCAGCCACTACGACACTAAGGGAATATTCTCCAGTTGACCTGGGTCCCGGTAGCTTCAGTTTAGTCAAACCATCAAACCTAACGCCGCCAACCAGGGCGGTGGTGGAATCCACGAATCTGTGATAGATTCAAAAAGTTGGGTAACCCCAAAGACGAACCTCCCACTTTTTTACGGACGAGATTCCCGAAATCACAAAGTGTCTGAGGCTCGTCGCCTTGTGACTCCATGCGGCGCTGATGAGGTTCCGGTGCATGCCAAGGACCTGCGGGGGGTCCCAATGGTAAGCTATGGTAGGGACTTGGTAGCGAACCCGGCCAGGATAGAACCCCCTTTTGCAAGGTTACCTCGGCGGGAGTTTTGAGGTACCCCAAGGGATGAATTGTATCGGGGCTAACCACTCATCCAAGAAATAGTCTAAATGGAGGCAGGAGATCTACGAGATGTACCTATAAAAAAAAGAGACGTGTAAATTTCGCCCAGTTTCGAGACAGCATTTTGGTATGATGGTTCGGGTGGAATCAACTGAAGATGTAAATGGCATGCGCAGATGTAAATGGCATGCGCAGACTCGCGCACTGCGCACTGCGACTTGCTTTCAGGGGCTCCATTGGGCACATTTTCCAACTTTCGGGAGGCCGGTTGGGTTTTCTCAGCCCAGTGGCATTGCTGCAAACCTGCAATTGGATGGCTTTGTCCCAAACCTCCAGCGGCCATGACGATTGGCTCTGCCATGGTCCAAGGATCACACCAGGTAGCTGAACCAACTACTATGGCCAAAAGGCAGTTGAAATGACATTGCCCAGAGATTTCTTTGTTCAACCCCTCCAATCATGAAAGTGCAGACTGGGGTACTGTGCACAAAAAACATGTTTGGTGAGTCCGGGACCCAAGACGGAATCACAATGGACCGTTGCCCAAAGGAACTGTCTGGGTACTCGTTAAAGGCAAACCGGGCCAACTCTTTTGGGTGGTTGTTCCTCCTGGTTTCCCTTTGGGGCTCCCAAGCGACGCACGGCTGTGTCTCATAGGGGCTTCGGTGTTCCTTTCGGTTTGAATCACCCCGTCGCGAGTCACCTGTCGCCAGGTCAGGCCGCGAACAGCTCCTTTTCTCTTCGGTGAACGCCCGCAGCAAAGCATCTTGCCAAAAGCTCGCCTCGACTCGACGGTTTCGACTCTTTCGAAGTTCCCAAGTCTCCTGGACTTGTCCAGCATGGATTCAAAACCGACAGCGAGAAATACAACATACCCCTCAAAAACACTCCAAATATCCCCCTTTTTGTTTGTATACCAGGTTTCCATGGTAAATATCTCTGTTTAGGCAGGGATTGAAATGATACCCTTAAAGCAAATGGAAGAAAATCCAAATACACCTAAACTCCCCAAACCTATGCGGCATGAGTTGCCCCTTTTCTCTGGGTACTTTGACCTCCATGTGCTTAAGTCCCCTGAAAAAAACGAAATCGATTCCCTTCAAAACCAACCAGGGAAAATAACAACCTGGGCCCTCAAAATTCCCTTAAAAATGGGTTTGACCCCCAAAATTATGGGGTGATATCCTATTTTTATGGGTAGTTTGAGGGTCCAGGAAATAGTATTAAGCAAATGGAAGTTGAGGTGCAGGCTGGATCAAACCTTTCGCGCGCGAACCAAAAAAAATCTCGTCGATCCGATCCAAGTCGCTGTGCGATAGGTGCGTCGCAGCTGCTCCCGTCGCCTCGGAAGGTCGGGCTGGCTCTCGGACCTGGACCGTAAGCTCCAAATATCCGATTGGGGAAAACCGATTGGTTGAACGAATGAAAAACTAGGTCCTCTAGTAGAGAGGTTGGAATAAGGCTACCCCCTACTCCAAATACCAACGGGGCCTCATAAACATTGGATGCTGCCACAATTATGGGGGGGTGAATTCTCTTGTTTGTGGAAATTGCCAGCAAATCCATGGCACCATGCACCGTGGATGCAAACATACCCCCGCAACCAAGCTTTGTTCAGGGTATGATGAGACCCTCAAACTACCCCCTAGAAACAAACATAAACAATGATCTACACCCCACTTTTGGCTGTATTTGGAGGGTTCGTCGGAATCTTAGCATAAAAAAACCCTTTCATTTTTACCGAAAGGTGTTGATACCGAAACGCCCCTCGTTAAGGACTGCAGCTCACAGAAACTGGAGCAAACCTGCGCCGGAACCCACTCGAAGCCTCTGGTACCCTCCCTAAAAGCTCCCCCAAACCACCCCAGAACCCTCGGGGTAAAGACTCCAAAGCTTCCAGCTGTAAGAGAAGGGGAACCAGGTGTTTTCCATGGGAGAAACGTCATTTTTCGGAGGGGCTGCTGCCATGCTATGTTCGTAAAAACCACAACGTAATTTTTGTTTTGGAGGGGCTGCCCCCATGCTTGGTTTGTAAAGGGAAACCGAACAGGGCTACCACTTGAAGGGATCCTTGATTTTGAGACACCGAGATTTAGTAAATCGTTTCTTCAAACCAAGCCCCCCAGAAAGGGTACTGCCGGGCTATAGTTTGGGGATCCCCGGTGCCCGCTCGTAAAGAAACAACACACATCCTTGCATGTGTCTTGTTTAAAGGGGGCCCCACAAAAGGTGGGGGTTTCCTGCTGGTTTCCCTTGACAACAACGCAAAAAGGGGTGCCAACTTCAAAACGCACGAGACAACCCTTGTCTTCATTCCGTCCTTGTTCTTGAGCTTTCTGGGAAAAATGAGAACATATTGCCAGTCGTGAAATCGATTCCCGGCAAAACCAAAACGCAAATGGAAGCTAGGGCTTCTTGCCCAGGGCCATCACCCCTACCACAAGTCAGCTATATTCACCTGTCAAAACTTGGTCGACGTTGGAAGGGGAGCAACAAATTTCCAATTTTAGCAGTTTAGTGGGGATTTCCCACTAAACCACAATAAGCAAAAAAGTAAAATGTTTCCCAACAACAACCATGAAAAAGGCGAAGGATAGGAACCCCTCATCTTCATTTGTATCATGGTCTACCCAGAACCATGTTTCAAGAACTAAGAGGCGGAGATCAGCTGCGTACTGTTGGTTGGGATTGGTCCTAACCTTCATCTACTCGAATCCGTTTTGCTTGCAAGCGGCTCAGCGTCAGAAGCGGTCTGATTCTTCACATTTCACCCAGTTAGAGAAGCACCCCCCCTATTCATTCAAACTGGTTAGTTGAAATTCCAATCTGGGATCAACATTACCTAAAAATACCAAATGAAACAAAAACAAAAGCGTTGGTATGTGGAGTTGGGGAACACTACCTGACAATACCCAGAGGTTGCGGGGAATGGTACCTCCCAACCCCTCGTCTTCATCTCTCCTTCTTCTTTGATGCTAAGAGGCATCTCCGCGCTGAGCGGCGCCAGCGGCGCCTGGGAAAAAACAAATCCGCCCACGCTGCTCCTTCCGCCGGGTGGGTCAAGCAAGAAGTGGATGGTGCCATTTTTTGGGTTCCCTCAACTCCAAATACCCGTTTTGTTTGGGGCATTTTTGAAGCGGGTGGTGCCCTTTTTTGGGGCTCCCTCTTTCAGGTAGCTGTGGGTCAAAAATATGGTAACCCCAAAATGGCTTGCCCTGGTAGGTGGAAACATGGACCAAAACCTGCGGTCACCTGGTGGTTTAATTTTGACCCATACCCAGGAAGCGGCGCTTGAACTGCTGCCGTGCTTCAGCCTTCAATTCGCGGACGCTCGACTCTGGCGAAGGCAGTGGCACGGAGCAGCTCTTCCCACTAGGCAGGTGCACATGCACGGAACACATGGCGAGATGCTCCTAGAGCGCACAAGCCTACCCCCTACTCCAAATACCCGGCCTTTTTTCAGGGTATCATGTCGACCCGCTGCTATGTACCATGGCAAAGCGATCGGTTTTCCCAAAATGCCAACTGAACAAAGCGTTGGTATTCTGAGTTGGGCCTAGTGGTCGGCTACCCGAAGGTAGTTGTTTTGGGACTGGCCACCACAGATTTAAACAGAGCTTGAACAAGGCCCTGGCCACTTGAGAACGCAAACACGCAGGCAGCAGCGCAATAAACAAAGGCAGCGGAGTCAGGGTTTGCCGGGTCCTTCCTTCCTTTTCGAAAGCCCCCAAAACGAAAGGGCCCCAAATGCAATTAAATAAAGAAATGACATACAAACTGCGAGTTTCGGGCTGTTTTTGTGGCTTCTGAAAGGAAGAACTAGTGTGGCTTAGGGTTCTAGTTGGGGTCACAGAGGACAATCTCTGGTTTAGTATTGGTTTAGAATTAGCCTAGTCTCAATCTAGTACTCCCGGACCTGAACATTATTTTTTGAGGGCCCTGTATTCTTTTGAAGAAGGGATCATGATTTCGTCAGCCTCAATTGGCAAGCTTCGGAGGAGACCACAGTTTCCACTGCGCATTGCATCACGGCAGGGGCTCGCCAAGCTTCTCTTTGTTTAGCTGGAGTATGTTGGAAAAAACCCTAGCCCCAGAAAACACCAACAATAATATGTTTAACTCGGTGTCCGATTTCGTCGACGCCCAAACGTTCAAACCTGAAGGAAGTGCCAAGTAAGGGAACAGCCTAAAGTCATGTTGGCGAGAAACTCATTTAATTCGAGACCCCCGGCAAAATCCTGACAAAGCTCGCAGAGGCATCTGATGCTCAAGCTCAATACGCCTTCCCATGATTCTTAACTGTCACTAAACCAAATCTAAGCAAAAAAAAAACATCAGCAACTGGAAGTAATCTAAGCCCGAACAAAGGGGATAACCCCTAACCATCCCCTTGGTTTCCTTTCTTCTGGAATCCCAACGCGTGCATTGCCAAAACCAAATCTAAGCCAAAAAGAGATCCTTCAGCAACTCGAAGAAAGCTAAGCCGGGGAAAAAATGATAATTTTTTTTACATATAAGCCGCACAAAGGGGTGAAAGAATAAATGTGAACAAAAATAAGCCGAGCGAGCGAGCGTCGCAAACAAACTCCTTTTTCCGTAGACTATTTTACTAAGGGAACCCTCACAACCAAACAAGTGGGTGAGAGGTCAGGCACCTAGCAAGGCGGGAAACAGAGATTCGCCGAGCGACCGACCGAGCGTCACAAACCGAGTCGCCTCGCCTGAAGGAGCTCCATGAGCTGCGGCAGGGAACTGAAGAGTTGCACCCCAGCCCCAGCCAGCGCCTGCCCCGGCACCCACCGGTGCCCGCGGGCAGTCGCGCCCCCGTCGGGCCGTCGGGTCGGGAGGAGATTTGGGAGGAGAAAAAGGAAACACCTTCTCTTTGTGTTTTACGCGGAGCTTGGTAGAGCCTAAGTACATCAAATCTTATTTGCGAGGTACAACCAAATCGTGAAGATATGTCTTGCGGTGTTTTTTTACATCTTGGTACTGCCAGAGGGGGGGCTTTAGTCATGCTTGGGCTTGGCTCAAAATAGGGGGGCCCAAACAGCTAGAAGTTGCGCCATCAAAAATAGTCTTTTGGTCCGAAAAGCATGACCACCGGCCAGGCCTGTCTGACCTGTCCACAGCCCAGCCCAACCAGCAACCCGCACACAGCCCCCCAGTCCAATTTGCAAGCCCAACACGCAAACCAGCCTTGTCTTAACCTGGCATACTCACATGTCTGAGCCCAGCCCGTGTCTGAAACTCGCCTCAGCCCAACAGCAACCACCCAAGCAAGGCAAACCAACCCACAGCCCAGCTCGCCCTGTCCTGCGCATCGCCAGAACCTGTCCATGCCTGAATCGCCACTTGACCAGCTCTGCTGCTGCGCGCTCGGCTTGGCCGAGGCAGGCAACGCGCAGCGTTTACAATTACCTACCCACTTTGCTCAGAGTATGGTAGGGTATGAGGGCAAACCCTACTTACCTTGAAACACCCGTTTTTGTTTTCTCTTACGCGCTGAACAAACGGGTATTTGGAGTAGAGGGAACAACAAAAAGCGTACCACCCATTTCCAAAAGGAGGCCGGACAAACAGCGTGGAAGCTCAAACATGCCTTAAACAAGGGAAACCAGCCCATGATTTGTTTGAGTGTCTAGGCACCAATGATTCGGTAGTCTAGGCACCCCGAAAAGCCAACCACATCCTTGTCTTGCAACCCAACCCAAGCACCAAGCACACGTTGTTCTGAATCTCCATTTCTAGTCAACCTTAAATCTGAACCTGGAGCCTGGAACTCCCCAAAAGAAGTGGTGATTGCCCCATGTTTCCCTGTTTTCTCGTGGGCGTATCCTTTGACACCCCACACCCAGCAAAGGGCGGTTCCCGTCCGAGCCTTGAAGTCAGTGATGTGCCACCAGTAGACACCTTAGCATCCGCGACCAGGCCAAGGTTGGGAAACACAAGCCAGGAAGTAGAAGTCCAGGTCCGACATGGACGCCTTGAAAAACATGCCCATCTTGGTGCTTCCAACTAGAAGTATGGTTGTCCTCCATTAGAGAGGATACAATGGGGGCACCAACTAAAAACCAAAAAGGGGCGAGAGGTCGGGCACCAAGCTGGGCTACCTAGTTCGTTCAACCCTTGTGGGTAGTGGGTAGTTCGAGGGCGCAGGCAGTCTCTCGGGTTTGCCCAAATGCCATTAAACAAACAACCTAAAATACCTGGAGCAGGTGTCCACTTGCCGGGCCTTATTTTTCAACCGTCGCCTGGCAACTTCGATCCTTCCTTCGAGGCCTGGGCGACTTTCAAGATCCTCCCAGTCCTTGTAGTTGTAGGGGTAGAGGCTCTTCCTCGAACGGATTCCAGCAACATGTCCAACCCCGATCAGGGCTGTGGGAAATGGAACCCACTTCTGTGTTACAACAAAAAGGCGTTGCAAAGACTACCTTCCCACAGAAAGCGGGAGATTCCCAAAAGTATCACAGAAGTGGGGAAACCCCTGATCCCACAACCCTGACCCTGATGGATCCCACTTTCAAGCCTGAAAAATGGCCTTCGCTCGTTCTACCCTGGATGCAGCGGTGAGTTCTACTCCAAACAACGAAATTGCGGCTTCCAGCTCTTTCCAGCAATCAGATTTGGAAAGCAGTGGCTGGGCCTGCGCAGACAACGCAGTCAAAATGAGCGAGACGTGGGTCGGCACCACGATCTGCACACCATGCAACGTCTGCATTTATAATAAATTCGGTCCAATCGCCGGCCTTTCGCGGCTCAAGTTTTACCAGTTGCGCGGTTCAACAAGTTGCCGCTGTTCATAAGTTTTAGACATGCAATTGCAGACGGCCCCCATTTGGAGTAGGAGGCTTCTCAAAATGCCCTTTGTTTGGTAAGGGGAACCACAAAAACCAACCCATTTTTTGGGGGGCTATTTCGAGAATCCGAATGAGGCTCGCAAGGTTGTTTACCCTCGAATCAGTGAGCCTGCCACATCGTAGGCGAAGTCTGTGGATCCAAATGAGCCACGCTCAAAATTGCAAAACATCCACCTTTCATACAATACCACCTCCCTTTCTAGTAGAGGGAAGACAAATCATACCTGAAATCAAGGCGCCCAGGTATTTTTGGAGCTTAAGCGAGTATACACAAAAGAAGCGGCCAAGTATGGTCGGAGCTTTCCGGTATTCTGTAACAAGGCGGCTTCACACATTTAATTTGTGGTCGGGATTATCCCTTTCTAACCTTCTCAGATGCCCAGTGGCCATGGTAAAAAAAGGCATCTTCTTTTTTGCGTTGGTTGAGTTTAAAGGAATCGGAACCCTTTCCGCCTTTTTCAGGGTATTTTTGGGAAAACCTGGGTTTCCATGGTAAATACCTCCTGTTTGAGTAGAGAGTTGACATGATACCCTGAATAGTTTGAGGGTCCAGCTGCTTGTTTTAAGAGAACCTCGTTTTCAAGAAACACGGCAATAAGCAAGACCCACTTTGAGGACATGTTGCCGTTAGAAATAACCCCGTGTTCTCACAGCTGTTCCAAATGGGCATGAATCTTATTCAGGGACCCTCTTGTGGACATCATTTAGGTGGAGATTCATGTCCACAAACCACTTTTGAGGTGTTCTTTACTGGGATGCCTTTTCCTCCATTTACCTTGTTTGTCGCCTGGAGAAAAATATGTTTGTTTTTTCGTGGGGTAACCATAGTAAGGAAATAAAACCGCTTCACGGGAAATAAAACCGAGGACCAGCCGGCACCATAAAAAGGCATTAAGGATATAGGCAGATCCAGCAAGAAAATACAAAACAAACATGAGAAATAAAAAGATACGACGGACCGGACGGACTGGACGGATGGAGTGGATGAGCCGCATGAGTGGATGAGCCGGCATGAGCTGGGCGGACTGGACGGACGGACCGGACGGACCGGACGGACCGGACGGACCGGACGGACCGGACGGACCGGACGGACCGGACGGACCGGACGGACCGGACGGACCGGACGGACCGGACGGACCGGACGGACCGGACGGACCGGACGGACCGGACGGACCGCACGGACGGACCGACGGACGGACCGGACGGACCGGACCGGACCGGACGGACGGACGGACCGGACGGACCCAGACGGACGGACCGGACGGACCGACGGACCGCGGACGGACGGACGGACGGATCGGACGGACTGGACGGACCGGACCGGAAGGACCGGACGGACCGGACGGACCGAACGGACCGACGGACCGGACCGGACGGACCGCGGACTGGACGGCGGACCGCGCGTGGACGAACCGGACCGGACGGACCGGCCAGACCGGACGGGAGACCAGAGCCAGACGCACCGCGAAGCGGGACACGCTGCGCGTCCCAGCGTGCGGCTGCGCGGACGGACCGAAACAAGACGGCCGGACGGACCGGAGAGAGCCCAGGACCGGACTGCATGTGTATGCACCGTGTATGTATATCGCCGTGTGTAATCCTAGCGAAATTGAGACTTGAAACACGTAGATGTTTACCTTTGCTTCAGTCTCCTTCGCCTGAGTACATCGGAATACTTATGCTACTTGTGCAGAGTTTCAAGGCCAAAAAAACTAAAAAATAGCGGGGGGGGGGGGACAGGGTTGGGTTGGGTGGCAGCCCCCCCATGATGATTGAAAAAGTGGATCGAAAAGTTAGGGGCAAAGAATGTAAAAAATGGCTCTCGCATGATGATTGAAAAAATGATGCTTCAATTAAAGGCGCGGGGAGGGGGGTTGAGGGGGCGGCAGACCCCCCCACGGTGATCGAAAAAAGTGATGATTCAATTAAGGGCAAAAATTCTAAAAAGCCGCGGGGAGGTTGTGGGGGGCGGCAGCCCCCCCGCGCGCGGGGCGGGGGGGGGTGGGGGGGGGCCTGCAGCGCCCCCCCCGCCCACGATGATCGAAAAATGCCGACGAGGATCGAAAAAGTGATGTTTCAATTAGGGGCAAACAGAAAAGGGGTGCGGATTTATTTTGGGTTCTTTCTTCGTTTCTTCGTTTTTTTGGTTTTTCGTCCGGGCAAATAAAATGTCGTATGTTACAGCATTTTCTCGCGAAATTGACGCATTTTACACTAGCTCGTCAACATCCCCAGCATCGTTTTCAACATCCCCCTGTCCGACCAACATCCCTAGCATCACCATAGGGGTGTAATTCGGTCTCTGCAAAAAAATCTAAAAAGTAGCGGGGGGGGGGGGTTGGGGGGGCGGCAGCCCCCCCCATGATGTTCGAAGAATTGATGATTCAACTAGGGGCGCAATTCATTTAATCTCTGTAGAAAATCTAAAACGTAGCGGGGGGTTTGGGGCTGCCGCCCCATGATGTCGGAAGAAGTGGTGATTCAAGTAGGGGTGCAATGATTCAAGAAAGGGTGTGATAGAATTTAAAAGGCAGCGGGAGGGTTGTTCGAAGAAATGCATACATACAGACAGACATGGACTACACAGATTACCCAAAATGTCGTATTTTGCAATATTTTCTCGCGAAATTGGTACTCGAAAAAGTGATGATTCAAACAGGGGTGCAATTCAATCTCTGCCGGGCCAGTAAAGTGTCGTATTTTACAGCATTTTCTTGCGAAATTGACGCATTTTACGCTAGCCCGTCAACATCCCCGGGGGGGTTGGGGGGCGGCAGCCCCCCCCATGATGTTCGAAGAATTGATGAGCAATTCATTTAATCTCTGTAGAAAATCTGTGGTGATTCAAGTAGGGGTGCAATGATTCAAGAAAGGGTGTGATAGAATTTAAAAGGCAGCGGGAGGGTTGATCGAAGAAATGCATACACACAGACAGACATGGACTGCACAGATTACCTAAAATGTTGTATTTTGCAATATGTTCTCGCGAAATTGGTACTCGAAAAAGTGATGATTCAAACAGGGGTGCAATTCAATCTCTGCCGGGCCAGTAAAGTCGTATTTTACAGCATTTCTCGCGAAATTGACGCATTTTACGCTAGCCCGTCAACATCCCCAGCATCGTGTTCAACATCCCCCGCATGTCCGACCAACATCCCTAACATCACCAACAAATCGTGTGACGGGGTGAAAGAAATGATGATTCAAGTAGGAGGGCATTTCAATTCCTATTTAAAAAAATACAATTAAAAGTAGCGGGGGGGGGTTGGGGCGGGGGGCGGCAGCCCCCCCCATGATGCTTTTTGCAGAAGTGATGATTTGAATAGCGGTGCAATTCAATGTCTGCAAAAAGTCTAAAAAGTAGCGGGGGGGTTGGGGGGGGGCGGCAGCCCCCCCCCAATGATGTGCAATGATTCAAGAAAGGGTGTGATAGAAGCTTCCCCTATGATGTTCGAAGAACTGCATACATACGGACATACATGGACTACACAGATTACCTAAAGTGTCGTATTTTGCAGCATGTTCTCGCGAAATTGGACGCTCGAAAAAGTGATGGTTCAAACAGGGGTGATTCAATCTCTACAAGAAATCTAAAAAGTAAGGGGGGGGGAGGCGGCAACCCCCCCCATGATGTTTGAAGAAGAGTTGATTCAAATAGGGGTGCAAATACTCTGCAAACAATCTAAACAGTAGCGGGGTTCCCCCCCCATGACGCTCGAAGAAGTGATGATTCAAATAGGGTGGTGGGATGCGAAAAGCCAAAGCCGAAGCCGCCGCAAACCAGCAAAAAGATGCAGAGGATGCGAAAAGCCCAAAAGCCACCAAAAGCCGCATAAACCAGCAAAAAACCAAAAAGCCTAGAAGCCCAGAAGCCGAGAACCGAAAAGCCAAAAGCCAAGAAGCCAAGAAGCCAAGAAACCAAAAAGCCAAGAAGCCCAGAAGCCCAGAAGCCGAGAAGCCAAGAAGCCGAAAAGCCAAGAAACCAAGAAGCCGAGAAGCCAAGAAGCCAAGAAGCCGAAAAGCCAAGAAGCCAAGAAGCCAAGAAGGAGAAGCCAAAAAGCCAAGAAGCCAAGAAGCCAAGAAGCCAAAAGAAAAAAAAAAAAAAAAAAACACGTGAAAATCATAAAATAAATACCCCTCCAAAGAAAAGTCTAAAAAGTAGCAGGGAGGGGGGTTGGGGGGAAGAGGGCCGCAGCGCCATGATGATCGAAGTGCAAAGTAGCGGGGAGGGGGGGGGGGGGGGTTTGGCGGGCCCCCCATGATGATCAAGAAAGGGATGACTCAATTAGGGCCAAAAACCATCATGATGATTGTTAAAGTGATGATTCAAATAGGGGCCAAAAAGCTGTTAAAAAGTAGCAGGAGGAGGAAAATATGATGGTTCAATTCAGGCACAAAAAAAAAGTAGCGGGGCGGGGGGGGGCGGTGATCCAAAAAAGCTATGATTGAAACAGGGCCGCCCCCCCAAAAAAATAGATATGAAAACGCAGGGGGGGGAGGGGTGGGGGGCGCGGGGGGGGGGGGGGGGGTTGGGGTGGGAAACTGAACCGAAAAGTTAAAACAAAAACACATGCAAGAAGGATTGTGGCGCGATAGGCATTGAGCGATTGCGGAGGCGTGTTTTATTTTTTATCTGTGTGTTTAATTTTCTTGCGCGATTCTTACCCTGATACTTGTTCATGGGCTTTGCAAGCCAAGAACTAAATAAGGTAGAGGTTGTTACGCAAAACGAGGCTTGGGGGTTGCGCGGGCTTGTTTAGTTTGTTATACGCGAGTTTTATTGTCCTACGCAATTTGCTTATTTCTGCGCACGCATTTGCTTATTTTTGCTTTCGTCATTTTTTATTTCCCCGCGAGCGCTTTTATTTCCTCGCGGAACGTCCCCCTGTTTTTTCAGTAGTGATAGATGTCCTTGAACGAAAATATAATTGCTTGAAGTATTCATTTCAGCAAACGGACATGTTTTGCAGCGTCGCAACACCGATTTGACCCTTTGACTTCCGAACTCGTCCGTGTCCCGTGGCCAAACTACGGGCCCGAAACGCGGGCTCGATCCACATGCTTGGCTTGGCGCAAGCGCCGCTATTTTTTTTGACGCATGGGTGACGTGTACATTGTAAAGGGGTCAAATTTGGCAGGGGCAAGGTCAGCCAGAAATTGGCTAAGCCGTGCAGGCCAAGGAAGGTATAGAGGACTATGCCATGTCTCGTGTGTCAAAAAGCTTTGACGCATGGGTGGTTCTCTCAACATCTGGGGACCCTTTAGCAGAGTGAAATGTTGGGTCCTCTTTTTTGAGAACCCCCCGCAAGAGAACCCAGGATCCTCGGAGGTTTAGTGAACACGCCCCGCAGAAATCAGTGGCCCAGGGGACAAGTCCTCTTTTCGGAGAACACCCCCAAAAAACTTGAGGTTGAAGAATCCAGGGTCAACCTTACTTAGGTCCTCCAGTAGAGAGGTTAGAATAAGGGTACCGTTTTGTTTCGGTCATCTATTTTAGTAGGGGAACCCTCCCCCCAAAAAGGGTAGGAGGGCACTACTGGGGGACCTAGTTGCCCAAAGGACGTCCATTCAAAACCCGCCATTACCCAGAAAAGACTTGTGCTTTCTCGCATAGGATCTGCTCAATCGCAGTTTTGGGCGAAGCTGAACATGTTTTGACGCGTACGCCCTGCTCCAAACAGCCACTTCTTTCAGAATATAATATTAACCCCTGACTACAAAATGCGGTGCTTATCATGTTTTAAAGCAAGTCTTTCAACACATACTCCAAATACCCGCTTTGTTTAGGGTATGATGTCGACTCTCCACTAAAAAAGGGATCGGTATTTACCCTGAAATTCCCAAAAAGCCCAACTGAAACATGCGAGTATTTGTAGGGGGTAAAATGTGCAATACTACTTTGGAGTTGCTTTTGTACTAGGACCCATTTTCGGGAAGTGGCCCAGACACCATGAATCAGCTTCATTTGGCGCAGCATTGTGTGGCAATAAGCCTACAGGTGCCCCAGGTGGTCAGTTCCCCGAAAAGGAAACTCGTCAATCCGAAAAAGCCACCGCCCGAAGCGAGCATTCAACACCCGCAAGCGAAAAACACCCAGACATTTCCCCGGGGAAACAAGGAATCGGAACTCTATTTAGTCTATTTTGCTGATCAAGGGAACCTACTAACCTACTCCACTGGGTTTTTGGTACCCTAGCATGGTTTAAGGCGTTTGAAGTATTAAAAGAGGGGTACGCCCAACAAACAAAACCCGATATTCTTAGGGTTTCTGTTGAAAAAAGGTGTTTCATGGCACATGTCTTCCTTTTCAAGGTGAAGATACCCTAACAAAAATTGAGGAATTTGGGAGTTTCCAGAGGGCATAGAGGGGTAAAGCACCAAACCGAAAAACTTTTCTCCATTCTTGGATAGATTGGCCAAATCGGTCTGCACTTTTCATTTACCGCTAGAATGGTCCAAACCCAAAAAGCATACAGCGGAACTCAGGGAGTGAGCTTCCAAACAAGCAACCGCCGGAAAACAGACTTGGTATTCTTCCATTTGGTGAAGACCCCTGGGTGAAAAAAAACAAACACAAAAACATATTTTCAATAGTGATCAATTCCTTTTTAAAACCAACAAGGGAAAATCAACAATAGGCCTTTCAGGAAATGGAAGTTTAGGTCCTCCAGTAGAGAGGTTACAATAAGGGTACCAACTTTGTTCTGTAGTCTATTTTAGGAGAACCCTCCCAACCAAAAAAGCATGAGAAGGGGCACCTAGCTGGGGGACCTAGAAGTAGCTGGAGTTCCCGGCTCGGAGCGAGCCGCGTGCGAAAAAGCCGAGAGCTGCAACCAGGCCAAGGCTCGGAGGCTGGAAGATCGTCTCCAGCCAGCCCCTGCAACAGCAACATCTGCCCCCTACTCCAAATACCCGCCTTTTTTTCAGGGTATTTTTGGTTGAAAACCGAAAAAGGTTTTCCATGGTAAATCCCGATCCCTTTTTTAGTAGAGGGCCGACCAATCATACCAACTGAAAAAAGGCCGGGTATTGGGTGTAGGGTGTGCTCCGCCCCAAAGCTCCGTTTGCTTCTCCGCCCCAAAAGCTCACGTGTTTTCTCTCTGAGTCTCTGACGGTCTGAGAATTTTGAGGGAGGGGTTTGAGGGCCTAGGTGTCCCATTAGGTTGGAAATCGATGGGCTTCCCCGGATGAAGAACAACCACCAGGGAAACCAGGGATCCAAACCCATCGATTTTTCGACCAAAACAACCAAAACAAAGACACCTACGCTTGAGAGTCTTTGGCTCTGGGGGGCACCTGGACCTGAAAGAACCAGTGCACTAACCACCGACAGCCAACCCAAATGCGGGCTGCGGTCGAATTCCCCCTAACCCCTTTTTTTGGTAGTCTCACTGGCTGATGGCCCAAAAACAGTAACCAAACTTGATAGTTTGCCACTAAAATGGTCCAAACCCAAAAAGTTAAAGTTTATGAACTCGGGAAGTGAGTATAACCAGTGATGGATTCCCTTTATGACATATTTCCAGTGTCTCTAGGGTATGGTAGAGTATGATGTTAATCCTTGGCTAAAAAGGTTTAGTATTAAACCAACCGATAGGTCTTCCCCATTTGGGGTCACCGTCCGATTCCTAAAAGAAGACATAGCTGGACCCTCAAACTACCCTTAAAAAGGGAATCCACCCATGATTTTGAGCCATAACCTTGGCTGCTGTCGTCCCCTCTGCAAAGGGCTTAATTTGTGTGGGTTTAATGGAAACCTCCTTGATTTCCCAAAAAGTTAAAGTCTAAAGATCCAACCCAATAGCAATCAAGTAACCACTTGTTTGGCTAGTTTCAGGGAGGTATATTCAGGTTGCCATCCTGCTTCACTGGTTACTTTCCGCCCAAGATTTTGCGTCTTTGTCCCTGCTTTCCTTTTAGCTGTTCGAAGAAAGCCCCTACTCCAAATACCTACCGTTTTAGTTGTACTTTCGCAACCGATACCTTTAACTTCCCTTTCAAGGCCGCAAAAAACAAGACGAGCCACCTATTATGGGTGTGTCACGTCCGTTTTTGAGGGTACCGAAGCCGTTGTGCGGGGTCCGCACAGAAGATATTGGCCTTCCGCCAGATTGGTGCCAACTTGGTTGGGCTATCTCAATATAGAGGGTAACCTCCATCTGCGTTTTCGTCCCCTGGAACAAATGAGAAAATATGTCCAGTAGTGAAATCGACTCCCTGTAAAACCAACCAAAAAAGCACATATTCCTTTCAGCAAGTAGTAAAAAACGCCATTAAAAGGGCTGCCGCGATTCTGAGACAAACCTTCGCTGATACCAATATGGGGTTCACGCATACCCATGTATCTTCCTGCTTTACACTTTGGGCATCTATTTTCGGACATCTATTTTCGAACAGGATGCTTCCAAGCAAAACACATCACCACACCGTCAGGAAACTTTCTTTATAATGGCGCAAACTGGGTTGCTTCCTCCCCCTGCCCCACCCCAAAATGAGGTTTACATGTCGTGATCGACCCTTGTGTAGGCTTGATTCAGACAAGCTGCCAAATGGCTTTACCGAACTAATCCAGAAGATATCTTCCCTCTTGGGGTCAAACTGCCCTCAAAAAAATATATCACATGTGTGTTTGGGGCAATAACCAATTGTTCAATGGTAGCTCCAGGGTCCAGGTAGTCGATTTACCCTTCCCCAGAAAGTGGCATTGGTCTGGGCAACCTGGGCTTACCAAAGTTGAACATGCCCCCAATAGGGTCCCGGGTGTAGGGGGGACGCTTTTCTTCCCAGATCAAATGGTAGGGACGTCCTCTGGCCCTTTTCTTGGGTCCCTCGACATGTCTGACTCTTCCATATTTAGCTCAATTACGTCAAAATACATAAAATACATAAAACATTCCGTATTCATAAAATACATATTCAGCTCAACTACATAAAATACTCTTCCGTATTCAGCATGTTAAAATACATAAAACCGTTTTGGTTTGGAGACTTCAAGACCAGGGCACTGAGGCACTGAGCGTTTGGTGCCCGATTCGTGGATTCCTTGGGTACCGTTCAACCAGCCTGTCGTTGGTGCCCAGCATAGTGAAGGTATACCTGGGCACGCCCGGAACAAGGCTTGAAGAATGTTCACGAACCACTTGTGAGGTGATTCCATTAAAAACTCAGTCAGCTCTAACTATAAGATGTCTGAGACCACAGAATGGTGTGGGGTTCGTGAGCTAGCAAGAAAAGCGCACCTCTTGACTTCAGCTCGGAGAATGCAAACTACAATGACAATGATATTTACATGTGGGCGTGTGTGCGTGTCAAAATAGGGAAGCACTGCATCCGTGACACTTAAACCAATCAAGGTGAAAAGGGTACCCTCACAAAACACTCGCACACACGCTGAACAAGTTGACAAGAGGGAATGTCCGAGTCAAAGAGCTTCATCGTGGGTGAGTTCACTTGAACCTCGGGTAAGCGCACGATATATTGCCCAGACTCCACCCCACTCCAAATACCATCTTTTTTCAGGCTATCATGTCGACCCTCTACTAAAAAGGAGGTATTTGCAATGGAAAACCAGGTTTTCCGAAAAATACCCTGAACAAAAAAGGGTATTTTGAGTAGGAGGTCCGTCTCACAGAAATTCAAGCTTAGACATCATCCGACCGCTGTCACCTCCATTCTCTGGATCGCCCCAAGTTACCACAGAGCCGTCATCAAGGCTGGCGGCGAAAGCGCACCAAGTTGCTTGGATCTGTTGAACTCTCGCACGTGGCGACTGTCACGGCCAAACTCCGGATGTCCCCAAGATACAACAGCGCCGTCGGTAAGAATGGCTGCAAACGATCTGCTGGACACCCACCAATTGCCCTCGCACCTGGCTGCTGTCACCGCCAAACTCCGGATGTCCCCAAGTCACCACAGTGCCGTCGGCAAGAATGGATGCAAACGCACGATTAGTTGCTTGGATCTGCTCAAGACAACGCAGTGCAACAAGTCACTACAGAGCCGTCGGCAAGGATCTCTGAGTTGCTTGGATCTTCTGCGCATGCACCAACTGAGTGCTCTCGCACTTGGCTGCTGGCAGGACAGCCCAAAGTAACCACAAGGCCTCCAGGAACAAAGAGTGCGAGTGCCTCACGGGCAAGCTATTTGCACAGGCTGCACGACGGCATCAATGGTGTCCCCATCTTGCAAGCCCGCATCACGCAACGTAAGCAACTGGTCTAGCTGCTGGCCTCTGAAAGCAAGACTTCGGAAGCGGCGCTGGAACTGCTGTTGCGCCTCAGCCTTCACTTCGCGGACGTCAGACGCGTTCGGCGCAGGCGGCGACACGGAGCAGCTCTTCCCACTTCACAAGCACACATCTACCTGCATTGCGGTTTTACGCCCGCGAAGGTGCTTGCCGTCGACAAAAAAAACGCGGCCGGCTAGGCAAAGAGCCGAAGACTCGGACTGCGATCCATGTCGCTGCGTCTTTGCGAACCAGACCGGCGGATTCCCCTTTCGTCCATTTGGCTGGGGGACGAAAATACTGTGGATGGACAAAATCCTGCACCACCTGGAAACCATGCGAAACCATTGTGTATTGGAATTTACGTTGGGGAACCGTCATTCCAGGGTTCCTTAGGTGGTGCAGGATTTCGTCCATCCACAGTATGTACCCAAATGGAACCCTGACCCATTTCGGCGGCTTCACTTTGAGTCGGATCTTCCCTAGCCCAAACAGGTGGACAAAGAGGTACATGGCAAGAAAGGAACAACGGAGACAACTGGAAACACACACATGTGGGCTGATTGATACACAACGTTTTGAAAAGAACCCCGTTTCTCAGTTGGTGAATCCCTGCTTTCTGCAAATGCCAGTGGAAAACTAGCTGTTGTTGCTCCAAAAGCTGCACACCCTACTAAAAACCGTGTAACTTGTTCTTGAGCCACGCCAGAAACCAAAGAAAGCGGTGCCAGAAAACGGGCACAGAACTGCTACCCCCCAAATTCACTGCTCCAAACACCGTCAACCGCTGCTTCTATAATAGGATGTATCTATGCTGAAAAACCCGGGTTCTTCAAAACCCACACATATTGCGCCCCACCCCAACCGCCACCCCAACCGCTCGGATCGACGCGGGCGCTCGGATCGCAGCGGATCGATTTCCACTCGCCCCGGCAAAGGGCTGCACATGGATCCCACTTTGCCAAATAGAATCGCACGGCTGTGGGTCAAAACCAAGGGGATCCCAGGTGCACCACCCATTTGAGAAGCTATTTGAGTGGGGATGTTCACTCTGGGGGTACGGGCTGTTGACCCATGGCCATATTGGTTGGTATGTTTGGTAAAGCCTGCTTCTCCGCTTGCATTTGTCCGCTTGCGCTTGTCTAGTGATAGGTTCCAATTGAATCAGAAGGGGAACATAAGCGCACCCCAGCCCACTCCAAAAACCAACCTTATGGTTTTTGGTTGGGGGAAAACCAATTGGTTTTCCGCAGCAAATGTCGATTCCATGGATGGATGGATGGATGGATGGATGGAGGGATGGATGGCACAGGCGCGCAAGGCGCGCAGGCAAGCTGGTCCTTGAACACACGCTTTTGGCGGCCAAGTTTGCTTCCAAAAGGTCTCTCCTTTCCGGCCGGCGCTTCGATCGCACCATATCGCACCGGATCAAAGGAGCCAAGAAAGATGTTCAAAACCACCCCCTACACCCAATACCCACTTTTTTCAGGGTATGATGTCGACCCTCTACCAACAAAGGAGGTATTTACCTTGGAAAACCGATCGGTTTTCCCGAAAATACCCACTGAAAAAAGCGTTGGTATTGGGTGTAGGGGGCAGCCTGAGGAGAAATTTCTCGGAAACCGCCCCACAGACATCGGCCGCGCGAAAAATAAATCGCCCAGCTACATGGGCGTGTCGGGCACAAAGGTGGGCAAGCCCATGTTGATCCAGTCGTAGAACCCCATCCTCGGATCGCTGGAAAAAGAGAGCGAAAGAGCGACGCAAGGGAGGCCTCCCAGCGAGAATCTTGGGGTGGAGTCCTTTGGCCTCGATGAATTCCTGTGGAAATACGCAACAGGCTCGTAGTGCGCCCCCTTTTAGCTGGGGGTGATCACTGTTGGGTCGACACCCCCCTTGTGGTACAGGTTTATGAATCAGGGGTCAACATTAGTAGCTTGTTCCAAGTGGGAGCCTCAACAATCTCGGCCCTAAACAATCACGGCCCTCTTGATGAATTCCTTTTAAAACCAACAAGGGGAAAATACAAAAAAAGTCTTTATTACGCAAAGGGAGGTATTTTGGAAGGGTTGACATGAGTCTAGGGGTTGATTCCTTTGCCATTCTTTTCAACCATCGTTCTTGGCAAAAACCGGATCTGCTTCCCCTGAAGTTCTGATGGTTTTCTGAAAAGATTCGGATCCCTGGAAAGAATGGGGAAGTGTCCCCTAGAAAAAGCAACACCTGACCCAGGGTCACCTCCAGCTTTCAATTTGTTTTGTCAAACAACCCGGCTGTACAATGGTATATACTGCTCCCTTTCTTAGTCAAGGGCTGACAAATCATACCAACTGACAACATCGGACATTTGGCGCAAGGCAAACAAGTCCAGGGAGAAAGTTCACCTGGACACAAAGAAAGGGCAAGCTTCCGTGAAATAAAAGGGGCCATCACTCCCCCCCCCCCAATTTTTAACGGTGGTGTCAGACTTTGGTTGGGCGAAACAAATTGAGTCTGGCTATTTCTTCAAGAACAGATTTGTTTTTTTTTGTGTGATTTCCTTGGGTCCGGGTATTCAACAAACACGCGCTTGCCAGGCATCGTCTGCAGCCAATCGTAGGGAAAGTATAGACCTGGCCGATCGACTTCGCAGGCGCAACTACCCGTCCCCCCAACTTTCCTGAGAGGGTTGGCCACGAAGCGGTTTTACACTAAATGGCCCAAGCCATTTCAAGTGATTTTAAAAAAACAATTCAGAAAAAGTAGGTGCCTGGGTACCTACACAAAAGGCTATAATTTTAGGTGACGAAACATGTCAAGCCAGGGAAATTATCGGTGCCAAACATACCAAGCCGTGTTAAGTGCCTTCGGGGTACCCACCTAAAAAACATCCCAAGCTCGAGCCCCGCGTGTGTTTTTTTTGTTTCTACAGGCACCCTCAGCGTCAGGGTTGGACCCGGAGCCACGAGCGTCCCACCCCGGGAAGCTCCAGAGACCCAGCCTCCAAGGATCTCCGATTTCGGAGGGTCTACGAGCCCATAGCCACCAAAGGGAGTTGGTGGCAAGCCCTGGAAGACTCCAAACTAACTCCAAACTGGGCTGGAAAAATCGGACCCCGGCATTTTGTTTTTCTTGCCTGGTTATAGTGGGAAAACAAAGTGGACTCCAAAAAAGCGAAAAAGGAAACAAAACAAAAAAGGTAAAAGGGGGAACTAATTCTGGGGAAGCAAATACCAGGGATCAGAAAACGGACAGTTCAGACAAAATGGGGAGGATTGCTTGAGGTCAGGTGTACCCCATAACTTGTTTTCAGTTGGTATGAAATGTCGACCCTCTACGAAAAAAAGGGATCGGTTTTTCCAAAAAAAAATACCCACTAAAAAAACGAGGGTATCTGGAGTAGGGGGTCGATCCTACTTCCGGGAGAAAGGTTTTCGAGGGTTGAGCCGGGGTTTTGAAAGGAAAACAAACATGCCGCAGCTATTGGTCAGGACTGTCCCCCAAACCTTCACTTGGCTGTGGCTCAAAAAAGCGGTCATCACCATTTTTGGGGCCCCTTGCAAACAAAGACCAGCACCTGCGGTTTGCCCCAGCGCTTGAATTTTTCAGGCAGCCACACTCACTTCACATCCTCCATTTTTGCTCAAGTCTCCTGGAAAAAGACAACTATTTTCAGTAGTGATAGATTCACTTTAAAACCAACAAGGGAAAATAAAACATGGTCTTAACCAAATGGAAGACATTTTTCTTTGGCTCGCCTCATCTCATCCCCTCCGACTCCATTCGAACTCGCCTGCTCGGTGGGAGAGCCAGTTGCTGTAGCTCTTGTCTGGGAGGTCCGACACAGTCTGAAACCTCGACATTGCGCTGAAAAAGACCCAAAGCTTCGAAATGGCCCACCGTTTCCTTGATCTTCCAGGACCCTGAAAAAGCAGGCCTTTGGCTGATTTTCCTTTTCCAACCAAGAGCAAAATCAAGAAGGACCCTGTTTTTGCGGTACCTTGGAAGATGAAGGTTTGTTACCTGGATCCCCAGCCAGGCTTGTTTTTCCAGCTGCTTTTGCCAAATAGTGGGCTACTGGTGGGTAAAAGCCTGGAAAAATATCTCAGGTGGAGGGTTAACAAGGCAAAAAAAGGGGGCCTTTTTTGTAAGCCTCTAGGGCCACATCTCGGATACCCAGGAATCGGGAAATACGCAACAGGCTCGTAGTGCGCCCCCTTTTAGCTGGGGGCGATCACTGTTGGTTCGAACAGGTTTATGAATCAGGGGTCAACATTAGTAGCTTGTTCCAAGTGGGAGCCTCAACAATCACGGCCCTCTTGATGAATTCCTTTTAAAACCAACAAGGGAAATAAAAATCATTATTACGCAAAGGAGGTATTTTGGAAGGGTTGACATGATTCTAGGGGTTGATCCCCCATTCTTTTCAACCATTGTTCTTTCCAGAAACCGGATCCGTTTCCCCTGAAGTTCTGATGGTTTTCTGAAAAGATTCGGATCCCTGGAAAGAATGGAAAAGGAAGGTACCCTTAGAAAAAAGCGACACCCGACCCAGGGTCACCTCCAGCTTTCAATTTGTTTTGTCAAAAGCCCGGCTTTACAATCCCTTGTTTAGTCAAGGGCTGACAAATCATGCCTAGAATGATACCCTTAAAAATACACGGCCCCCCCGTTGCAACGGCCGGACGGCGTCAGCGGGATGCCGTTAATCTTTGCCAGCGAGTTCAGCAGCAGCCGCCTCCAGAGACCAACGCTTGGCTGTGGCTCCAAAACTTGGGTGCTGTAGGTCCCAAATAATCTGTTGCTGGTGAAAAGGAAATATGAGGGGAATCCGAAAAAGTTAAAGTCTAAAGATCCAACACAATAGCAGTGGAGAAAATCGCACCTTGGTTGTGTTCTCAACACCAATGGTACCATTTTGGGGTAGGTGCACCACCCATTTTAGAACCTATTTTAGTGGGGACAGGGGGTTGACCCATAGCCACTTAGCACCTTGGTAAGTGCCACCAAAGGCTAAAACCCGCGTAACCCCAGCTCTTTACTTTTGAGCCACACCCACTTTTGCCTATGGTATTTTTGTTTGGAAAGCTTGTTCCATGGTGTATGCATGTCTTTTTTAGTAAAGGGTTGACGTTATACCTCAAAAAAACAGGTATTTGGAGTGGGGGGCCAGCTTGTTTTTGGGTGTAGTTTAACTAGGACCCCCTTGCTAACTAGGCTGTCCTCAGATCCCCTGCCAAAAGTTAAACAAGTAGTGAGTTAAATGGACATTTCCACTAAACCAACGAACATCCTACCAAAAAACAAAAAACGACAGCTGGGAGCCATGTAGATAGACCCCCTGCAAAAACCACCCTAGAGGCGTTTCTTTGGTAGCTTCTAAGCAGGTACCAAAAAAAAAGTCTTACCCCCCAAAAGCCATCCTCAGGAGGTACGAAGGGAATGTCTGGGACCAGCTTTCTGGGGTCTTCTCTGCTTGATTTCTCACGGTAACCTATCACATGGGTTCCAACTTGGCTTCCTCTAAGCCCCAAGAAACCAATTGAAACCCCCACGAGCCCCACGCCCCGAAAAAGATGCGTGGGTCTAACTTCCGACGCCCCAGGGTGGACTTCTCCTTGGCTTCCTGTAGACCCGCCCCTGCAAGAACGATGCCACGCCCAAAGACCCGCAAGAAGAAATGTGGCATGCCGAGGCAAGGACAACCGACCAAAAATACATCTTTTCGCTGGAGGGACCCCCCCTATTTTGACATTTCCCAATGGATCCCGGTTTCCCATGTAGGTAACAAGCTACCTGGATCGCCACTTTGCGATCGCTTTTTCGCCTGAACCTTCACCCCAAGCAAACAGTGGCCGAAAAAAATGCGAAAAAGCAGCTTGGCTCCCATCCCGGTCTTCTCCTCTCGGCTTTTTTAAAGGGAGCCAAGGCAAATGGAGCCACTGGGCTTCGTCCAGCCCGCGCATCCCGACCGCCGACCGCGGCATCCGACAGCGCCTGTTCCAGAACAGCACCGGGCCTCGAAACTGGATCGGCCGATACCCGCGGGGGCCGCTCGAAATCGGGGACTTTCTTTCTCGCCTTCTGGGACGGTCCAAAGAGGCTTTGGGGAGAACCAGCTCCAAGAGCCCATGTTTGTTTTTGTTTTTTGTTGCCCTTTTTGTTTTGTTTTTTTTGCTTGGATGGCAAGAGGGGCAGTCCATCTGCATGGAACCAGCAAGATTTGCGAGGGTGCAGACTTCCGAGCGCGACGAAGCCCTGAAAAAAGCAGGGTGCAGATGTGACACTTGCACACCCCGCCTTTTTCAGATTGCTCTAGTTTCTTGGAAGCGACCAGCCCTGAGTAGTAGCTGAGGTTTGCCAGCCGCTGTACCTATTTTCACCAGCCCCGATCCTCAGTCGTTGGATCGCGTTTGTGGGAACATCTTCCAAAACAAGAGTGACTTACTCTTACCCCTTAACACTCCAAGCCCTGGGGAAGTTAATCTTTTACAGATATATAGCCCATGTTACCCCCAAAAAGTTGAAAAGTTGTGTTTTCAAGAGGTAAGTACTCATGTTGAGAACCCCTCAAAATCCACCTGGACCCGGAAACCCGAAAAACAAAAAAAAGACTCCGCCGACCACAACCTAGATAGCCAAGTTGCTTTTTCGCTTTTTTCAGTCGCTGTTGCCAGTTCTTGGGGTAAAGTTCATGGAAAAAATGATCGCAACTGGCGATCCAGGAAGTTTGTTTGGGGCAATTTCCCCATTTGGCGGGTGGCTTCTTCAAGTCCAGGAAGCTACTCTAAAGCGCTTTAAAGCACCCGGCGCCACCCAAAAGCGACCCACCCCCCCCCCCCCGCTCCGCCCCCCCCCCACAGCCCGCCCCCGGCCCCTGTCTGGCTACTTAGAGTCTACGTTGCAACCATCTTCTTTGAGGGTCTTGGTTTTGTAGGGTTTGCGGCTGGCAAAATGGGTGTCGTTCTGGAGGCTAGACGTTTCCAAGAGGAACTACTCCAGCAAAAACCACAAGTCGAAAATGGCAAATCAAAATCGGAAGTCCAAAAGCACATGCCGCCAAATCAACTAAAAGATAAGAGGAGTCACCCCAAACATCGACTCGTCTCTACGAGCGGCGACGGTTCAGTAGCACCGCTGTGGCGTTGGCGCCCGTGTAGGTCACAGGCCTCGGTTCGAAACGGGGCCCCAGAAGAACCACGGCTTAATGTTGACCCAGGATTTATAAACCCGCCTAGATAGCCACGTTGCTGTTTTTTTCAGTCACTGTTGCCAGTTGTTGGGGTAAAGTTCATGGAAAAAACCACCAACTGGCGATCCAAGCGTCCCAATATTAGGGGGTGTTCCCTCCAAAAGTGGTCTGAATCTAACCACTAAAAGGGACACCCCCCTATTAATCAACCAGGGCGTTGTTCATCCGGGGTTAACAGTATGCCGAGTGGGGCGATGTTGTTCATCCACAAAGTCAATCCCGGTCTGAGCTGCCCTCAGATCCCCCGGCTAAAACATTGACTCTTAGTGGGTTAAACAGAAAAACGGAAACTACCACTAAACGCTAAAAAGCTAAAAGGCTAAGGGGATGGCTGGGAGCCACCAAGCGGTGTGGATATTCGCGGGGGGGGGAGGGGGGGGGAGTGGGGTTGGGCGCTTTTTACCTGGCGTTTCCCTAGAGTCAGTGAAAACTGCGACACCCACTCGGCATGAACTGCCTCAACCTATGATTCCATCGATGAACATCTCCTCTTCAAAGTATCTCTATCACACGCCCTAGAGTCTATAGAGACAAAATGAAGCAGGCACACGTAAATTGAGCCTGTGGCACACATTGAGCCTTGTGATTTTGCAGGGAGCCCTTTGGGCGTGACAACTGCAACACATCTTTGTCGAAACCTTCAGGCAATGAAACCAAGGTGTTGAGTAGAAGGCCGTCACAGCCGACAAGTGTCAAAAGTACTGTGGATGGACAAAATCCATTTCGCACCACTTGGAAGCCATGGTTGAAACCATTACGTTGTTTATTGGAATTTGCAGGGGAAGCGAATCCTTCCAGGGTTCCTTAGGTGGTGCGATTTCTGGATTTCGTCCACCAGTATGACCCTAGATGGCGTTCAAGGAAGCCTTTTCTCTGTGCCCCTTCACCCCCCATTTCCCCCCCAAGTGCTTTTCACGTGTCCATGTACGCCTGACAAACCATCCCCCCATCCCCATCCCCAGCCAACTACGGCCCCTCAACTAGGGCCCCCCCTTGCCCAAAAAAACATCACAAACACAAAAAAATAAAAAATGGGCCACCACCATGTCTTCCTACCATCCCCACTCAACCACTCGCATGGCCTACGACGTGTTTTTTTCTTTTCGGCGAAATCGGGGGCTCCAACTCAGCTTCGCGCCACTCCAGGGTATGTACCACGTCAACCCTACCAAAGAAGGGGTCACTATTTACAAAAAAAGAAAAAGAAAAACCGTTCTGTTCAGTTGATGTGTCAAGCCTTAAAGAAAGGGATCCGTATTTACCCAGGTCTTACCCAGGTGTCCAAAAGTGCCAACTGAACAAAGTGTTTGGAGTAGGAGGGGAGCTTTTCCTTGGTGCGATAAGTAGGGAATGAGACATGCAGTGAACCTGGGGATTTCCTAAAAAGGAAACCACATGGGGAGGGTTAACAGGGGTCATTCTATTTCTCATTCCCTACACCAGCAAGTGTACAAGAAATCAGGGGTTCCTTTATCCCCCCACCACCAATCCAAACCACCAATGAAGCAATTAACCTGAGCTCGAAAAACAAAGGGGTCAAACGTCTAGCGGAATGGGAGCCAAGCACTTGTGGGACAAGTTTTCGGGGCTGGGTCTGCCACTTGCAAGATATACCCTCCCAAAAACAAACAAATCGAACCTACACAGGAACCGGTCCCCTTAAAAGGACAATGGTCATCCAGGAACCCATGTGCAGCTTCGATCTGATGGGTTTGGGAGGGCATCCAAAGTCAAAAGATTTGCCCCGTCGAACTCAAACGAGCAGCCGAGGCCCCACGCGGATACTTGGATACTTGGAGGTTGGTAAGTAGGTTATACAAAGCACCCCATAGTCTAAGAACCATAACTTAACCCATGTGTAAGGGCGAGGTCCTCCAGTACAGAGATTAGAATAAGGGTACCTTTTTTTTTCTTCTGTAGTCTATTTACTAGGGGAACCCTTCCCGACAAAAGGGTAATAAAAGGGCACTATATACTGGAGGACCTAGAGAGCCACTTTGCCAAGGTTGAACATACCCCCTACGTAATTTGCCACGGAAAACAGATCCGTTTTCCCCAAAGAATGCCAACTGACCTCTTCGCTGGTATTGGGAGGTTACGGGTGTGTGTTGCAACCACCTTCTTAATAGGGTGTTTGGTTTTGTAGGGTTGGGGTTTGCAAAATGGGTGTCTTTCTTGAGGCTATACCCCCTACACCCAATATCCACTATTTTCAGGGTATGATGTTGGCCCTCTACTAAAAAAGGATCTATTTACCATGGAAACCCAGGTTTCAAGAAACTACCCTAGAAAAAGTGGGTATCTGGAGTGGGGGATATATTTGTAAGGGTTATTCTAGGATCCAGCCACTTTGCCAAGGTTGAACATACCCCCTACTCCACATACTCACTTTGTTCAGGGCACTTGCCATGTAAAACCGATCGGTTTTCCCACCAACAAGTGCGACCTCTTCGCTGGTATTTGGAGGTTAGGGGTGTGTGTTGTGGTTTTGGCTTTGTAGGGTTTGGGGCTTGCAAAATGGGTGTCTTTAATGCTTGCAAGAGGTAACCCCCGCAACACGAAAGAACCGCAATCTGGGGCAATAACCCATGTCTAAAAAAGGATCCAGCTGTATTCTCCAGCTACTTTTGCTAAATTATGGGCTGCTAGTGGGCTCCAGTGGCTGGAAAAAAGTGGCCAAGCTTGAGGATCCAGGCAAGGTTGAACATATGCCCTACTCCAAATACTCCAAATACCCTCTTCTTGCAGGCTATGATGTCGACCCACTAAAAAACGGAGGCAACTGGCCATGGAAAGCCGGTTTCGGCTTTCAACCAAAAATACCCACCGAAAAAAGGCGTTGGCCTTGGAGGTTGCGGGGTACAAGTAACCCCAACGTCCCAACGACGCGACCCAGGGATCTGAGTCGCGGGGTGTAGAGCGACAGGGGCCTCACCGCCGGGATCTGCAGACCCGTGTGGCTGTAGATCCTCGATTCGGTTTCGGCTTTCTGGGAAACCTCCTTTCGTTGGTTCCACCCGTGATTAATTGCACGGTTTGTGGGGGGATGATTTTGAGGATTTTGGGAATTGGGGAAGCCCAAATAGAAAGACAAATATTTCCAGTAGTGATCGATTCCCTTGAAAACCAACAAGAGAAACAACACATACCCCCTACTCAAAATACCCGCTTTTTTCAGTTGGCACAACCGGGGCAAACCCAACAAATGCCAACTAAGACAGAGCGGCGGTATGTAGAGTAGGGGGCAATGCAATTTCCGTTTAACTTGATGTTTCCACACTAAACGGCGATCCCTTTTTTCGTACAGGGTTGACATGATGCCAACTGAAGAAGCGGTAGTGCTCTGAGTACTCTGGGGGTAGGTTTAACAGCGATTCCCAGGTTGCACCCACCCAAAGGCTCCAATTCGATGGATTGGGGGCCTTCAAACAACCGTGTTTTCAGACCCGCAAATTTTTGCGGGGTGTCTAATGGAGGGCTCGGGTCTTCCATTGAAAGCCCCAGGAAAGCAGAAATAAAAAGACGATCACCTCTTGGGGCCACGAAAAATGCCTTGTTTCACTTGGTGTGATGTCGAACCTTTACTAAGAAAGGAGGCATTTACAATGGAAAACCTGGATTTTCAAAAGATACCATTTAACAAAGCGGGTATTCCGGGTAGGGCCAACTCAAACCAAAAGCTTAGGTCACTTTGTCTTGGGCAATTGAATCAAGGTTTAGATGGGTCTGTCTTTTGTTGGGTACCCGTGTTTTGGTTGGTTTCCAAAAGGACGCCAAAAGAAAACAACAACATTGTTTCTTTCTTTTTCTGGGGGGGTTCCCCTATTTGGAGACAAAACCATACACCGCATCCTTCCGTAGTCAGGGTTTGACATCATACCCTACAAGTAAGGTCCGGCAGAGCCGGGGGGCGGAAGTTTCAAAGCAGTGAACAACTATAGTTTGGAGAACTGTCCTTGGCCCCTTGCTTCTCTCTCTCTCTGTCTTTTTCTCTCTTTCTCTCTCTCTCTTTCTCTTTCTCTTTCTCTTTCTGTTTCTCTGTCTCTTTCTCTCTCTTTCTATCTATCTCTCTAGCTATCTCTATATCTGTTTATTGATCTATCTATCTACCCATCTTTCTCTGCACTTAAAAGTTGCGATGTTCAATCCCCGAAAGTTGACTTCGCGTACTACTTTCGTACTTAAAAGTTGCGATTTTCGAGCCCCAGCTGCGAAACTGGACTTCACGTACTACTTTCGTAGTTAAAAGTTGCGATTTTCGAGCCCCAGCTACGAAAGTGGACTTCGCGTACTACTTTCGTACTAAAAAGTCGCGATTTTCGAGCCCCAGCTGCGAAAGTGGACTTTGCGTACTACTTTCGTACTTAAAAGTTGCGATTTTCAAGCCCCGGCTGCGAAAGTGGACTTTGCGCACTACTTTCGTACTTAAAAGTTGCGATTTTCAAGCCCCAGCTGCGAAAGTTGACTTCGCGTACTACTTTCGTACTTAAAAGTTGCGATTTTCAAGCCCCGGCTGCGAAAGTGGACTTTGCGCACTACTTTCGTACTTAAAAGTTGCGATTTTCGGCTGCGAAAGTTGACCTTGCAAAAATGCTGCGCCTGCCACCAAATCTGTGCTTGACCTTGCTAAAGTGCTGCGCCTGCCACAAAATCTGTACTTGACCTTGCGAAAGTGCTGCGCGTGCCACGAATTTTGCACTTGACCTTGCGAAAGTGCTGCACCTGCCACAAATTCTGTACTTGACCTTGCGAAAGTGATGCGCCTGCCACGAATTTTGTACTTGACCTTGCGAAAGTGCTGCGCCTGCCACGAATTTGGCACTTGACCTTGCGAAAGTGCTGCGCCTGCCACGAAATCGATACTTGACCTTGCGAAAGTGCTGCGCCTGCCACGAAATCTATACTTGACCTTGCGAAAGTGCTGCGCCTGCCACGCAATCTATTTCTCTAGCTATCTCTATATCTGTTTATTGATCTATCTATCAGTCCATCTTTCTTTCTGCACTTAAAAGTTGCGATGTTCAATCCCCGAAAGTTGACTTCGCGTACTACTTTCGTACTTAAAAGTTACGATTTTCAAGCCCCGGCTGCGAAAGTGGACTTTGCGCACTACTTTCGTACTTAAAAGTTGCGATTTTCAAGCCCCAGCTGCGAAAGTTGACTTCGCGTACTACTTTCGTACTTAAAAGTTGCGATTTTCGAGCCCCGGCTGCGAAAGTTGACCTTGCAAAAATGCTGCGCCTGCCACCAAATCTGTGCTTGACCTTGCTAAAGTGCTGCGCCTGCCACAAAATCTGTACTTGACCTTGCGAAAGTGCTGCGCGTGCCACGAATTTTGCACTTGACCTTGCGAAAGTGCTGCACCTGCCACAAATTCTGTACTTGACCTTGCGAAAGTGATGCGCCTGCCACGAATTTTGTACTTGACCTTGCGAAAGTGCTGCGCCTGCCACGAATTTGGCACTTGACCTTGCGAAAGTGCTGCGCCTGCCACGAAATCGATACTTGACCTTGCGAAAGTGCTGCGCCTGCCACGAAATCTATACTTGACCTTGCGAAAGTGCTGCGCCTGCCACGAAATCTATACTTGACCTTGCGAAAGTGCTGCGCCTGCCACGCAATTCAAACCTTGCGAAACCTTCGCGCGGCCGTGCCAATGGGCCCGTCTCCGAACCCGTTCCGAACCCGTTCCGAACCCGTTCCGAGACCGTTCCGAGACCGCCTCCGTACAGGCGTCGCAGCCGAGGTGGTTTGCGCACAGTCCGGAAGCCCAATTCACGCACAGCGCCAACGTTTTCTGCATCTTGCCATCCCCCAGCTCGCAGAGAGTGGACGCAGCTTGCGAAAGTGCTGCGCCTGCCACGAAATCGATACTTGACCTTGCGAAAGTGCTGCGCCTGCCACGAAATCTATACTTGACCTTGCGAAAGTGCTGCGCCTGCCACGCAATTCAAACCTTGCGAAACCTTCGCGCGGCCGTGCCAATGGGCCCGTCTCCGAGACCGTTCCGAGACCGTTCCGAGACCGTTCCGAGACCGCCTCCGTACAGGCGTCGCAGCCGAGGTGGTTTGCGCACAGTCCGGAAGCCCAATTCACGCACAGCGCCAACGTTTTCTGCATCTTGCCATCCCCCAGCTCGCAGAGAGTGGACGCAGCACCTTGCGAAAGTGCTGCGCCTGCCACGAAATCGATACTTGACCTTGCGAAAGTGCTGCGCCTGCCACGAAATCTATACTTGACCTTGCGAAAGTGCTGCGCCTGCCACGCAATTCAAACCTTGCGAAACCTTCGCGCGGCCGTGCCAATGGGCCCGTCTCCGAGACCGTTCCGAGACCGTTCCGACCGTTCCGAGACCGTTCCGAGACCGCCTCCGTACAGGCGTCGCAGCCGAGGTGGTTTGCGCACAGTCCGGAAGCCCAATTCACGCACAGCGCCAACGTTTTCTGCATCTTGCCATCCCCCAGCTCGCAGAGAGTGCTTGCGAAAGTGCTGCGCCTGCGTGCTTGCGAAAGTGCTGCGCCTGCCACGAAATCTATACTTGAGAAAGCTATCTACGTGTTAAGCTGGCTATATGTCAAAGCTATCTATCTGTCATGCAAGCCTATTGGAAAGCTATCTATCTGTCAAGCTAGCTATATGTCAAAGCTATCTATCTGTCATGCAAGCCTATTGGAAAGCTATCTATCTGTCAAGCTAGCTATATGTCAAAGCTATCTATCTGTCATGCAAGCCTATTGGAAAGCTATCTATCTGTCAAGCTAGCTATATGTCAAAGCTATCTATCTGTCATGCAAGCCTATTGGAAAGCTATCTATCTGTCAAGCTAGCTATATGTCAAAGCTATCTATTTGTCATGCTAGCTACCTGTCATAGCTATATGTCAAAGCAGCTAGCTCATTTAGTTCCAGTACTACGGAAGTTTCTTGTTAAACTTCCTTTGACCATACCCTGAAACAAGTGGGTATTCCGCCGTAACCTCCAATTACAATCGCCTTTTTTCAGTTGGCATGGTTGTTGGAAAACCGAAAGGGTTTCTCCCAGCCTAAATACCGATCCCTTTTTTAGAGGGTTGACATGCTACCAACTGAAAAAAGCGTTGGAATAAGGAGTGGGGTGTACAGCTGACTATCTCTACTCTTGGTGAAAAAACGTTGCTTTTTGCAGACCCCCAGTAAAAATGAACAGAACCAAACAACTAAAAAACACAAAAAACACATGCCAAGAACAGTGAAGTTGACCTCAAGCAATCCTCCCCCTTTTCTCCGAGTCCGTTCTCCAATCCCTTGTTACTTGGAGTTCAAACAGATTTCTTCCTTTCTCCCGAAGTAGGATCGACCCCCTACTCCAGATACCCTCGTGCTTTTTTTTGTGGTTGTTTTTTTCTTCGGAAAACCCGATCCCTTTTTTTGGTAGAGGGGCGACATTTCATACCAACTGAAAACAAGTTGTGGGGTGCACCTGACCTACCAACTCCCTTTGCTGGGCTCGTGGTAAAGCTCCTTTTGGAGGTTTTTGGAGGCCTGGTACTTAAAACTTACGAAAAGACGCTCGCGGCTCTGGGCAGTCCTTACGCTGCTGAGGGTGCCTGTGAACAAAAATACCAAACGGTCGAGCTTGGGTTTTTTTTGGATACCCAGAAGGCACCTAAAATGGCTTGGTTTTTTTTGGATGGGTACCCAGAAGGCACCTAAAATGGCTTGGGATTTGCTTGATGGCCTTTTTGGTTGGTACCAGAAGGCACCCTGAATTAATTCTTTCCGGTGTGCCACATGTCCTCCAGTAGAGGTTAGATAAGGGTACCCTTTTTTCTGCAGTCTATTCTAGTAGGGGAACCCTCCCAAACCTAGCTGCGGGACCTGGTCCATTTATCTAGTTTCCCCCCCAAAAAAGAAAACAAGTTGGCCTACTGGGCACCTAGCGGCTGTTTTGTGGGCTCGCGTTTCTCCAACCAACAAATACCCCCTACTCCAAATACCTGTTTTTTTCAGTTGGTATTTGTGTGGAAAACCGAAAAAGGTTGTCCACGGTAAATACCAAACCCTTTTTAGTAGAGGGTCGACAAATCATACCAACTAAAAACAGAAAAGGCCGGGTATTTGGAGGTTTCGGGGGTAGGTCCTCCGGATTTGAGATAGAAGGGCACCAACTTTGTCCTGTCTATTCTCGTAGGGGAACCGAATCTCCCCCCCAAAAACGTCGGCCAAAGGGCACCGGGTTTCGGGGGTCCAACTGTCGAGGCGCTGCAGCGAGAGGTACGGCGCCTTGGTGGCCCAAGACGTCCGCGGGTCCTGAAGGACGTGCTCGACGCGCTCGATGCGTTCGGCCCGAGAGGTGGAAACCCCGAAAATCGGTGGAGACCCGGCCGAAGAAACGAAGAAACGGGGCCAAACACATGGCTTGCCCTAAGGCTCCCCCCCCACTCAAAATACTTAAGGCTGTTTTCAGTGGGTACTTTTCTGGAAAAAGCGATCGGTTTTTAATATGGTAGATACCTCCTGTTTCAGTAGAGGGGCGACATGATACCCCGAAAAATATGGTATTTGGAGTAGGGGGTCCAAGTCGATGATTGTGGGCCCTCTAAAATGGGCCATGTTCCTCCGGGCCCGTGAGGAATTGGTCCGGGTTCTTCATTGGACGGCCCCTGGACGGGGTCTGCATTGGAGGGGTCATGATTTTGAGTGATACGACTGTAGGGTGTCTGGAAAACCCCCAAAAGGGATCTGCATTTGCACGGAAAACCTCGTCTTCCAAAACAAAATCCCTAATAAACGGCGGAATTCGGAGCAAAGGGAGTTTGCGAGTCTACGTGTTCTTTTTGGCCGAAAAAGTCGTACACCCTTAGAAAGTCGTGCAAAAAGGGCGCCTGGGTTCTCAAAAATGGAAAGTTGAACCGCCCCTTCTTTGCTTTCAACCGGCCTTGCGAGGTGCGCTCTTTTGGAGAGCTTGAAGCTGTCTGGGCTCGCACTATCGATTACCCCCAAGAGCTCCTAGGATACCTCCGTTTTTAGCTAGTACGTCTTGGAACACCGATCGGTTTTGATAGAAAGTACGGATAATATTTAGAGGACCCCCAAAATCGGTGGTATTCCTGTTGGTTTCCCCCCCACCCCAAAAAAAAGAGGGCCTCAACAGCAGATACGTGACCAGAATCCCCAAAGACTTCGTGACCTGAAATAGATTTAACAAGTTGCACCTTTGCTTTGCAAATCTTGAATCCCCCCATTTCAGCAAACAAATCACGGTTTGTTCGTGCTTGCGTGTTCGGGCAAGTTAGTAACCTAACCAACCACTAAGTCTCCCTAGGTGGGGTTGACCCTGATAGTGGTTAATGGTTATAACCCACTTACATCCACAAAAGCCATGATCTTAAGTCTTTCAGTGGGTTAACTCCTTGGGGTTTCAAAGGACACCCAAAGAAACGAGACACATGTGCGGGCCCAACCCTAAAAAGATCACATCCATGTGTCATAGTCAGAGATGGGTTCTGGATGCCCCCCATTCCAAATCAAAGTTTGCCGTGAGTATCTTCAGAAACACATGAGTTCCGGGGTAAATACCTCCTCTTACACCTTAAAACTCCAAGCCCTGGGGAAGTTAATCTTTTATAGACATATAGCCCATGTTACCCCAAAAAGTTGAGAAAAGTTGTGTTTTTAAGAGGTAAAAATAAGAACCGCGGGAAAGCAGGTGCTTTGTTTCAACCACCCCGGCAATGGCTTCACGGACCTCCAGTAAGTGCTCGCTTGCTCGCCGGGGGGCATTGTAGCAAGGGGGTAACAAACCCTGAGAAAGGGGTAGGTATTTGGAGGTGACGGGGGTATTCCGAGCCCAGGCCCCCGCAGATCCGTTTTTCGCCTTGGAGCCGTCGCAAAGCCTAGTGAAGGGGTACCCACAAACAGACACGGGCCCACACAGGACGACACCAGTGAAGCTTTCTTTAGAAAAAATGCATTCACCATGGAAAAAAAACTTGGTCTCTCCAACAAATTCGGCTTTCAAGGCGTTTCATGGAGTAGCCTTCAACATTCCCCCTACTCCAAATACCCAATTTTTTTCAGGGTATGATGCCGAAACTCTACTAAAAACGGCGGTATTTACCATGGAAAACCAGGCTTTCCAAAAAAATAACTGAAAAAACAGGTATTTGGAGTAGGGGGTGGGTGTCTGCCCCAGGAAGTCAGAACCCACTTCAACCCGATTTCGTGCACCGTGGCCCGTCATTGGCGAGCTCGTCCACGAAGGCCCGGTACAGCTTCCGCTGATCCTCATCCTGGTCGCGACCCATTGGTTTGGTTGCAAAAACAACTGCCCCCTACTCAAAATACCCCCTTTTTTCAGTTGGTATTCTTGGAAAACCCACTTTATTTTTGTTTCAGTTGGTATTTTGGGAAAACCGAAAACCATTTTTTTTAGTAGAGGGTCGGCATCATACCCTGAAAAAATAGGTACTGGGTGTAGGGGGTACCGCTACCCCAGACATCCCCTTGGTACCTCCTGAGGATGGCTTTTGGGGGGTAAAAAAAGGGGTACCTTGGTACCTCCTTAGAAGGTACCGAGAGAATCTGTGGGTACATGAATCGCCCCAAAACACCCGCAAGTAAGTCCGGTTTTTAATTTTTCCTGTAACCCGACTCTTTGACACTTGCCCAGCTGGACCCTGAAATCGGCGCTGATCCCCCTTTTTTAAGCTGGTCTGTCCTCAGATCCCCAGCAAAAAGCTTAACTTTCAGCGGGGTCCACTTTTGGGGGGCGGGGCCAAAACCAGACATGAAGTACCTGGACAAAAGGAGAAATTGCTTTTAAAGTTTTAAAAGGTACTTTGCGGATGGTAAAGTAAAGGACACCCTACCCAAAGTGGTTGACACCGGGTTTGCCGAATTATCAACTTACACCCCCCATTTCATCCGGGCTGTCCAAACCGCTCCCCTGCTAAAAGTTGATCTTTGTTGAGTGGGCTAGACTCGGAAACCCACTGCCCTGAACCAAATAAAGGCCTAAAACTCAGTTTGCCCAAAGGACCCAGAAATAAAAGGTTAACCTTTTGGGGCCATGACTTCCTCAGATGAGACCGCAGGCCAGCAACATTCCGTCAGAAGGCCTCGTAACAGGCACTACAGTTGAGTAAACACACAATCCATGACTAAAACATGGACCAAAGAGGGGAAACCAAAAGGTCAAAAGGTTGGCTGTGGGCAAGTGAGAAAAACCCAAGTTGAACGGCTGGGAACCGCCAAGTTCTGTGGAAAAAATCCGGGTCCATGCCTTTGCTGTGATTTTTCCCCTTTAATCAACCCATCAGATACCCCCAAGCTGCTGTCGGTATCATGTTGACCTTGGAACGTCCATGATGATTTCACTTTTTCAACCAATCAGATACCCCCAAGCTCCAAATACCCGCGCAATTGGGGGATCACCTCAACCTTCAATTATAAATGCAGCATGTACCATGGAAAACCAGGCTGTTCAAAATTAGTTGTGAAGTGGGCAAAATTTCATGGACCCTATAAACCTCTCCCAACTAGATCTAGGTAATTTACAATAAATCTTACCTCGTCACCTCGTTGTTAAATAAGGTTTTGGAGTGTGCGCCTCGCCTCGTTAAATCCGTGGTCACCTCGTCACCTCGTCACCTCGTTAAATCCCTCGTCACATCGTAACTTTGTAGTACAAGTCTAGCACGCGGATGGTTGCCTAAGGTGCTGAAAAACTTCTCAGGCTCCGAAAAGTTTGCTTTGCGCTTTGGCAGCCCCGAGCCTTCCAACACCAATGCCACGTTCCAGTACACTTCCACAGCTCCAGCTCGAAAAACTCAATTTTGTAGCACAAGCCTAGTGCAAGAAGCGCGCTTCCACGACTCGTAGTACAAGCCAAGTACAAAAAAGTACGCTTCCGCAGCTCCAGCGCGAAAATCACAATTTTGTAGCACAAGCCTAGTGCAAGAAGCGCGCTTCCACGACTCGTAGTACAAGCCAAGTACAAAAAAGTACGCTTCCGCAGCTCCAGCGCGAAAATCACAATTTTGTAGTACGAGTCCAGAACGCGGATTGCCGTTGGAGGCGCTGAAAAACTTTTCAATCTCCGAAAAGTTTACTTTGCAGGTTTGCGGCCGCTAGCTGCCCTGCAGGGTCGCTTATTTCCATTCTGAGGGCTGGCAGCCCCGGATAGCTGCCTGGAGTGCTGAAAAACAACTTTACAAGCCCTGAAAAGTTTATTTTGCGCTTTGGCAGCCCCAAGCTTGCCAACAACAACGCCGCGTCCCAGTACAAGTGCGCTACAGGAAACTTTGGCAGCCCCAGCTCGCAAACACCAATACGATGTCCTAGTACAAGTCTGCCATATACATGGAATACAACATGCAATACAGCATGGTTCATTAAATTGAGCTCTCAAAACTATTCATTTTTCCGCCGCTACGCCGTTTCCAGAAATTTCGTTCCGTTTGTTCCCCACTCCAAACACACCTTGGAAAGGATCCTTTGCATTTCCGGTTGCCGCTGGATCCCAAATGACAGCAATGTCAGAATATCTTTCCATGTGACCCTGGCCACAGGCAAGTGGCTGGCCTTTGTTGTGTCAAAGGCTTTGCTGAGGGGTTGCCGGAAACAATGAGACTAGGGGTGCTCTGGGAAGGCTACGGGAAGGCTACGGGAAGGCTACGGGAAGGCTACGGGAAGGCTACGGGAAAAGAAACTTTGCAGGGCCCAAAAAGTTATTTTCCCCAACAATCACCTCTGACAGTATAAAATAACTTTTTAGGCCCTGAACAGTTTTTTCCTGCTGTGGGACCCTCTCCTGCTGCATCTACGTGTGCACCTCGTTGTTCTGAATTTAGTTAAATCGCCTCGCTTCAAATATTTGCTCCACCTCGCACCTCGGCTGACCTCGCTCTAAATTGCCTAGAAGAATATCATTCCAGGGTTTCTTAGGTGGTGAAGGATTTCGTCCATCCACGGTAATGCTGAAGTGCAACCAATGGAACAAGAAACCCAAACCAATGGTTGCGCAAAACAAATTGCACCCACATGGCACCTTGGCAAATGGAACAACACACGCAAAACCTGCGTAACCGTAGCTCTTCAAGGATACATGCAAAACAAGGTGCCTGAGCTCTTGGCGATCATCCTAAAATGGATTGTGGATTCCATGTTGCAAGCATGGGTGATATCTAACAAATTGGTTCTGAGAGACTACACGCAGGATTGCACGGTTGATTGGTGCCGGAAACAAGTGCGCTTTTTTTTGGCGCGAACTTATAAAGGGAAACCTCAAAAACCCTCCAACAAAGCTCCTTCTGGCTTAGTCCTGGTTAGTATTAACTTAGTATTAGTTTAGTTTAGTGGTGTCTTAGTATTCGTTTGCGAGGTCCCCTTTTGCATTCATCATTATCTGTCTGGGCGGGCTGTTTTAAAGGGGCTCTCATAAAGGAACTGGTTGTTTGGGGCCTCAGTTGGTTTAGCTGCTGGCTCAGGATTGTCTTAGTACTGGTTCGCACTAGTTTGTAGTGGTTTAGTACTAATTGGTCAAAGTTAGTATTGCTCGGACATGGTATCATGTTTTTCTCACCTACGGACGGGCATCCATGTTTTGTCCTGCCGAAAAGCAACTTGTCTGTATTCCCGCTCTCTTTTCTGGACGGGACTACTTTTGAAGACAACTTTTCTGAATTGCCTCATTACTTGTTAATCCCTGGCACATTTACAATGGGATGTTCCAAGTGACCCTTGCTTTACAGGACCCCCCACCCACGTAAGGTCAAAAAAGCATTCCCAGAACAATGGTTTGAGCAGCTCGGCGCCGCTCGGGCGCTTCGGGGCAGAATGCTCGACTTGAGTTTGGGCCTGGGCAAACCTCACAAAACCGTTGGCCCGAAAAGGGAGAAGAAAAAAACAACAAAAAACATGCACGCACGCACGCACGCACGTGCGCGCGCACGCACACGCACACGCACACGCACACGCACACGCACACGCACACGCACACGCACGCGCACACGCACGCGCGCGCGCCCGCCCGCCCCGCCATCGCCCGCCCGCCCCCCCGCCGCCCGCCCGCCCGCACCCACGCACGCGCACACGCGCACACGCGCACAGGCGCACAGGCGCACACGCGCCCACGCGCGCACGCACACGCGCACGCGCACGCACACGCACACTCACACCCACACCCACACGCGTGTTGTCCTGAAAAAGACAAACACATGTTATTGGGGATGTACATGGTCTGCAGGTGCCAAAGCACTGGCCAGAACGATCTCACTCCTCGGTGCCGTAGAGTACGCGGGAATCGTGACGGTTCCAGGAGGCCACCAAGCAGCCTCAACGACTTGAGTTGGCTGCCAAACTGGTCTGGAAAATATGAGAAACACATACCCTCCTTCCCACGTTGCCATGGCAACTGGCAGGGGGTCCCTTCAAAAGGAAATTCGTCTTCCACCTCCCCACAGGTGCCATGTTAGTTGGAGGAAGGGCACATCCCCTCCTGGGAGATGGCGGGATTGCATCTGAAATGCGACTGGCCTGATCCTCGTAAGGCTTAGCGCGACTTTAGCGCGGAAAAAGCAACATGTCAAACAGAGCAAATCTTCGGGTGGCATTTGAAACATGTCACGTGGCATGCTCTCCTTACTACTGGTCAGCAACTGGATGCCATGTGCGGTCAAAAGCTTCTTGTGCAAGCCATGGCCATGGTCCCTTAATGCGAACCCAACCCTAAATCCCTTCGAGCGAAAAAGCTAAGGAACCGGATGGCTGGGCTGGGAGCCACCAAGAACTGTGGCAACATATTGGCTGAAGCATCCAGGACCACAGCTAACACCAAACGCGTCTCACACGTTTAGCCTCGAGCTGCGGACCTCGCCTGCGTCTCCGATGTGCGCAACGTGAACCAACGGCCCCTGGCATGCTGTTGCTAGGTCTCAAGCAATAGGCGGCCCCCAGACCCTTTAAATCAAAGTCTCGAAGCAACCCTTGCAAAGAGCTATGCGTACCAAGCATACCTCATGCCCCAGGCAAACAAATTGCAATTAGCTACACACACACACACATGCATGCATGACCCCCAGCCAAAGGATAAGGCAGCATGGATTATGACCTCAGTGCAACAAGGAGTGATCCAAGAACCCAGATTTTGGAACCCCACATTCAACTGTTGAAGGCAGAATCATAGCGACCGTGTACGGTCCCCCCCCGATATCGCCTTGCTGAGGGGGCGGGGAACAGGCGTTTTCCAACGAAATATTTAACCCATGGTTTCAAGAGCAGGTGTTCCCACCTTTTTGTCTTGGTTTCTGAAGCACTTAGGGTCGGGGATTTCACCACCCAGGCCTTTCATTTTGTCCGTTCGCCCGCCTCAAAGACCAGCACCGAGCCGGCAGCACCTGAGGCTTCCACGCTGAAGCCTGCGCGGGAAGGTGTTTTTTTTCCCCACAACTGAAGCATCCAATTGTCCAGCCGCCTGGGGCTTTGCTCTTTTGAGGGTACCCTTTCTGTTGTGGCTCTCAAGAAAACCCGGGTCCCCGAAGACAAGACACACCAAGCGACGAAGCCCCATGAGGCCATGGAGCAAGTTACACGGTAAACACGGCGAGCGCTCTATGCGATGAGCAGTCATTGCCACGCTGGCTTTTCCGTTTGAAGCACTTACTTTTGCGTCGCACGTCAGGAAATCCCGCCGGCAAAGCGCAAGGAAAGGGGCTCGAACAGAACTCAAGCTGAAAGCAGCATGCCCGGGCGGGTACCAGCGAAATCTGGAATCGCTCGGGCCAAGCTGGGCAACCGCACCCTCCACCCTCGCGAAGTTCAGCAGTTCTTGCTGGGCCGCCAGGAATGCCTCCTTCATGCAGGTCGCCCAGTCCTGGTCAAGAGCGTCCACCCAACGCATGTACAGCCCGGCATGGATCGCTCTTTCCAGGCCCCACCAAAAACCATGGGATGGGCAGGGTTCAGTCCTTGAAGGGTCGCGGGCAGCACTTGTGCATGGAAATGAAGCAGAAGGTAGTGTTGACCCCAGATGAATCAGTCAACCAGCTTGGGTGGGGGGTGCTCCCCTCCAAAAGCCACATTTCCCTGGGACACCCCCTATTAAACAACTGGGGTTGATTAATATGGGGTTAACATTACCCACATCGACACATTTGTTCCGGGATGCTCAATTGAAATGCTTGGTTTTAGCGCCACTCCGGCGCACCGCTCCGAAAGCGAAATAAGCCACGGCCACTTCGATTTGGGGACTCGGCGGACATCATTCTGGCCCCACCAGTTTGCCACTGTCAAAGTCACCCCCATCCATGGTAGGTCAAAAGGGAACAACCCCATCCCTAGAAACAGCCATGAGAATTCACAGGCAGAGCCAGTTGGCGTATCCCGGCCTTGCCCCAGTTTGCGTTGGTCGTCAAGAAGTGCGGAAGAGACTGTACCTCATAGTTGGCGCTTGGGCTCCTGATTCTCAAAACTTGGCAACCACCCTCAATCTAACAAGGATTCATCTGCAAACAGGGTTGGGGTTCCATGTTAACCCGCAAAATGTGAGCCTCAGCATCCATGAAGGATCAAACGGAGGATGTCAGCACCTTTGCTCCAACTCGGAAGGTTTTTGGCCTAGCTGCACGCCGGACCGTCAAATCCATTGCACAATTTCAGGTGCCCCAGCCCAGCTGGGCCCCGACGAGCCCATCTAGCTCTACTCTGCTCAGGCATACCTCTGACCATCTCGGCGCCGGGCTAAGCGAAAGGACACCAAGTGGCCGAAGGGGCCGTGCCCGTCGCACACGCCGTAGAGCCCGACGGAACCAACCTGAGCATCTTTTGCACCTCAACCTTCGACGGCTTTTTGAGGGCCCCCTTTTCACCTTGGCTTGGGAAACCAAAGGAACCAATGCCATCGCCCGGAGCTCCCCCATACTTCCCGAATGATTCGGACCTGAGCTCCAGACGTGCAGAGCAAAGTAGTTGTCCTGCCAGCGGCGCAAATATCGCGCGTCCTTGTTGAGAGAACGTGTAGAATCACGCGTGGGGGTTCATCAAACCTGCTTCTTTGCTTGTCAAGGGACACATACCAAAAAGACACCGGGGTCACAGAAAGGAGAGGCTCCCTCCTTTTGGATGCAAATGGGGGTTGATCAAAATGCTCGAAATACATGGGATGACCACTGGTTGGGAAACCACTAACAAGATGATGTTTGTCAACCACTAAATGAGGACAGTTACCCATGGTGAGTTGGGGGCAAGGAACACTGATCAACCCCCTTGTGCTGGTGTGCCGGGAAAGCCTTTCTGCAAGACTTAATGTTTGTTGCTTTGTCCGCCTTTTGGCCAATGAGAAGCCTCGCCAAGTGTGACATCCACTGACTGAGAAGGCGTTGGGTGCCTGGTTCGGAGTAGGATCTTCCGCAGACTTCTGGCCCTTCTGGCAAAGCACCGCCATGTGAATCTGGCCCTGGCATCGTGCAACCGCAAATTTGGGGCACTGCCGCAAAATTCTGAAGCCCATGTACACAATAAGTACAGCATGGATACAGGGTACAACTCCACACTTACGCAGGAGATGCCAGCATCTACCCAAGGGTACGCAGTTTATCCCCTAGGCAATGCGCAAGCACAATCAGAGAATCACAAGCTGAACCACGGGTCGAACCCCTGGGTAGGTTAATTACCGTTTCAGCAGTCCGAACTGATGGGTTCATGCCATGGACCCATGTCAGCTTTTGGCTCCAGCAATGCGCCTTTTGCCACTTGCGAGGCTGGTAACTGGCTCAGCGAGCCAGGTCACACCGGCGCCAAAGCATGGCACGCGCTTCGTTCGCATGGGGTTCCCCCTAGGCGAAACGATGGGCGAACGTTTTCAAAAGCTCCCCTCCTGCCACGGGAACCCGCCTGCAGGACCCTGCTTTGGGTCTGATTTTCCTAGATGCTTCCGTGGCGTCGCTTCCGGCTGTACACAGAGCGGTATGGCATCAGCCAGCAAAGCCATGCCTGCGAATCGATCCGACGCAGGCCGCAGCTCGTTGGCGGCATCCAATGGACTAGGCAAGGGTGCCAGCGAAATCGTACTTGTATCTCAAGAACTCCTTCCAGCTCTTCATGTTGTCCTTCTCCTTTCCGAGCGAGAATGAATCAGCGCCACTTCCTACCATAACGCCGGAAGTGATGCTTTAGATCAACCTCCACAGTTTTACTCCAAGCAGGGGGACACGAGTGGATAAGGGCAAACTGCCAGTGCCTTCTCTCTCTCTCTCTATCTCTCTCGCGCGCCTCTTCTGTGAGATCCTTCCCGTCGTCTTCCTCTAGAGTCACCACCTGTTTGGCAAAGTATCTTGTGGCGTCCTGCCGCATTTGTCAAGGCGGCGGCGGGTGTTTTGAGGGAGGGGGTAGGGCCCAGGGCATTCCGAAAGCCAGGGCCACCAATTTTCCGCCCAAACATTTCGCCATTGCGGCAATCTCCATTTTGGCAAGCTCTTTTTAAACAGCCATAAAAGCCTTCCCAAGAGAAATGCGAGCTCCCCATGAGTCCTTGCCAGCAAACATGCCGTAGGGCCCGTTGCTGCCATAGAAGTCACGGCCCCGCCATACATTGAAGACCTCACC